CTCTGTTCGAGGGAGTTACGACCAAAACGCGGGTAATCCGTGAAAAATAATCCAAACCGAAGGTAGCGAAACAAATACACGACGTCTGTTCGATGAATTTTCCATCGCGGTGGTCGTATTATCGGTGCCATTTCCCCGTCGTTTCGTCGTCTATAAAAATGCGCGAACCACGCGGTTGCACGCGCCGTGAAAATCGATCTTTTTATGCTAGACGATATCAGGATTTATTGAAATTGAAATGCGACGCAGCGCGTAGACCAGCGAGCAAAAAATTGCATTGGTCAGGTACGCTCCAACAGCCTTTACATTTCGCATAAATTAATAATTGCAAGATAACGTTAATTAAATATAATCAATAATACGAATATATTAATTGATCCCGTTCGATTGTATCCGCCCAAGATTCGAGCCAATTAATTTTAATAAGCGAAAGTTTTATGCGAATGGATAAATAGAACGATATTGACTCGTAACGGATCTGCTCGTCAAGCATGCATTGTGTATTAGAACGTGATTAATTAAGGAACACGAACCAGACGATGAATCGACAATATTCGAAAGGCTAACTATTGTTTAGGTATTCGATAGCCAGCTGTCATTACCTTTGTGTCCATCCTCTATAATATCCTTTAATGACGGTCTAATTCGCGTCCGTACGATCGATTTATCGGTACGTTCGTTTAATTATCGTTGACATTTTGCTAACTGTTTGTCGGAAGATCCCGCTGAACGGTAGACGCGTTCTGTAAGAACCACACAATTCTGTTTCTTAGCACACGATTCGTTTCTTCGCGAAAGTATCCCTCGGGCTGGGTTTTATTTCGAAACCGTCTCTGTTCTCCGAGATGGCTTAAGCTCGACAGTTTTCCTCGGTTTTTCGCGTCTTTTTGCACAATGAATTCGACGATCCCCCCGACAGTTTACTTATTCGAACGGGATTAAGAAAACACAAACGTCGATGAAACAACCAACTCCACCGTCGATCTATTTATTTCAATAAAACAAAACGTATGATCGAACAAAATAATCTATACTTTTATTTTGTTTTTTTTCTACCGTAACAAAACATTTTTACCCCGGAACGGTTTTGTTCCCCGCATTTCATTGAAAATAGAGAGATACAATAAAAAACGATTTCGATAAAAGTTTTGCCATCGCAAGCAAAAAATACACACTATTTTATTTCACCGCGTATTGATACACGGAGCAAATAGTTATGCACACGATTGCATTTATCCTCTCGAAACTCGGTATGCTTGTTTCGTGGTTTCAGCGGAAGGTAAAGGATATCAAACCAAACATATTTATTTATCATGATACTTTCATTTATTTGAGCCGTATGTCCCGTTGGTTACAATAACTTGTAATATTTGTAGATTTACACGCAATTGCAATCAAGTGTAGAAATATTTTCACGATTTATCATCTAGTATGTACAAAGATACCAAGGTATACTTTTTCCATGTAGCTTTTATGTAATTTAAGAATGAAAGGATTAAAGCAACCAAGCGGACATTAAAGAGAAACGATATTGGAAATAATCTTGTCTGAAAACGATCACGACTTTAACGCGTCAAAGTTTAAAGACCCAAAAAGGTCAAGCTTTACTGCCTTTGGAACACCAAGTCCCCCAGATTCCGTACTTTGTCGAATAATCTTCTCGGTGGTCTGACTTCCTGATGTTGCTCCACGTCAGAATTCGGAGGTCTCAAGGCCAATTTGTTCATCACGAAATCAATAAGCTTCTTAATGGGCTGCATTGGCAAACCCAGGTTCTCTAAATGTTTGTTTCGGAACAGATCCAGCAGATGTACCTGCGCCAATAAACTCAGTCTTTAACTCTCCAGAGAAATTCATTTTGGAAACTCGGAATTTATTAGCTTGGGGACTTTGAATTTTGCTCTAATTATTATTCCCAATTGTTATCAATGCCTCTTTTGTATCCCTCATCCATAGAATTTTAAAAACCAATATCTCTCGATAGAAATCATCTGGAAAGACCGACATTTCGTCTTATAGCGAGGGACTATTGTAGACCAAACGACAGACTACTTTATACAGATAATTTCATCGATATTACTTTCGACCCCTGTTTTAAATCAAGAAATGTAGCCTACGTACCAAACTCTGTCTCTCGGAATGAGGTCCGTAGCTGGCATGGTGTTCTTGCTCGTTTCTTGGGGCGGATAAACCGTAGCCGTGTCTGAACTGTTTGCGATCACCTTCAACTTCCTGTTCGCGGGGATAGATCGCGGAACGTTCATTTCCTTCGCGTTCCGGCTCGGCTCGTGGATCGGAGGTAAGTTTGTTCAGATTGCGGGGTTGTTCGAATAATCCGGAATTCGGCGCGTGTCCGACGCGCGGAGCTTCGCTTTCTTGCGTGTCGAACAGCGATCGCCGATTCAATATGTGCAAACCTAGGGGCCTGCTTCCAACGACGTTCTTCTTCAGACCGGTAATAGCCGACGGATGTGTGAAATCCTCGTTCGGGGTGTCCTGGGTCGCGTCAACCACGGAAACTTCCTTCGGTGCAACGGGTTTCTGAAAGAGTCTTCGAACGTCAGTCATCGTTTTTTTAATTTATGTATATTTGGTTACACGCGTACAGTCTCGAAACGTCGAAGAACATTTTATTTCTAACAGGAATAATAATAATAATCATCCTCCGCGGAAAAAGTTCCGTACGACCAGCGGAACATAATTAGCGTGCATTGTGGTGTACGGGGAAATACTCACCGGGTCCAAGTTCGTCCGAAGAAGTTGCAGAAGTTCGTCAAAGCCGTGGTTGCCGGGCGCGTTGGTAGCTTCGCCCTCCGGGTTAATTACTCGTCCATGGCGAAACGAGTCCTGATTAGATTCCAGGCTCGTGGCATTTCCGTGGTCGTCGCAGTAGATCGGCGAGAAGGTGCAAACTGCGTAGCACGCAGCGAGGATGATCAGCCTGGACGTCGCGAATGTTGTCATCTTGCTGGGATCGGTGATCTCTGCCAATGTAGCTGGATCTGTGAATCGTACTCGCGAAATCGGTGTTTTATAGCACGATCTGACAGGTGTTTTCGAGAAGAGTTATCGCGTCGACGATGAATTATCGACGAAAGTTGCGGGGCGTAATCGTTGGCTAATTGAAGTTTGCACAGTCTGGACGTGGAATCGTCTCGATCCCGCGAATTGATGGATGGATGGAATTTTGGGGTATCGATGGGATCGTTCGACGGGCAAGACAAACACAGATGGGCCTGTCCGTCGGATTAACAGACGTCTCGAGGACGCCACAGGGAGGAAACGCCCGAACGATCGACGTCGGAAAATATTTTCGGTCCCGTATGAAATTTTCTTACAACGGCAGCAGGATTTCTGGAAAAACGAGCATCGGTTTTACCGTAGGGCGAGGCACGCGCGCGTATCGAAAGGATATAACTTTACAGGGACGATAGAACGAAAGAGGGGACGAAAGTTGCCCGAACTGTCATCGTTTTTCATGCAACTTTTCTGCTGCCTCTTTCGCGGGAGCCGGGACATTCGTAAAATTTTCACCGAAACTTTATCGTTTCCCGATCATAACGTACTTGTCTCTGATCCTTGCGCCCTTTCGCGATCAACCGAAACGACTGCTGTTTGAAACATGCTGAGCGCGGTATTATGGACTGAAAGTAGAAACTACGGGATAAAAAATATAAAATAAGTTTCGTCCGTCGTTTTGCGTCCTTTACAAATTCAGTAAAAATTGTATATAAATTTTTAAAAGGCAGACTCGGGTATTTTCCATTTGTCCGCGAGGCGAGTTAATAAAATTCACGGTTGAAAAGTTCGTCAAATCCGCGCGTAAAGGTGATAACAGAAGTCTCGATCCGGCGTCAGGCTGTTCCGATGTTTTCAATCAGAGTCCCTTGTGCGTCGTGATTGGCATTTTTTCATCGGACCAAAGGAAACTCTGCCGCTCGTCTTCCACGAAAGCAACGTTCCCATCGCGTTTCTGGTTCTTTACTGGCCATCACGTACAACCGCGTGGATCAGCCGCTCATTCAGACAAGCTAATTGTGAACGAACCGTAACACGTCGCGTGCTGTGTTGCATTTTAATGCCGTGGCAACGGGAGTTCCTTGGCCCTGGGCGTCTTCCATCGTGAAAAGAGCCAAGCACAAAGGAAAGCCCTCCGCCTGTGCAGAAATCCGCAAGAATGGGAAAGCGGACTCGTTTTTTTCTTTTTTTTTTGTTCGATATTGCGCCGCCTCGCATCGATAACAATTCCCTTAGCATTTGCATTTAATGGTTACGAAAAAAAGAAAGCAGACTCGTTTTCTATAAATCTCCCGTACGAAATACCTTGGCTATACGCACACTTTTTTAATTATCTTCCTGCTTTAGAAATCGCAATTAGACGATCACCATTTGTCTTCGACAAATTAATATAATACGAGGAGACTTTGATTCTGTACTTAATTGTATCGCCAGTTAAGAACCTAACCAGTCTGGTATAATTTGGTTAAAATTGATTCCGCAAGAAGCAATACGCGACCGTCTGAGAAATTTGGGAATTCGGTCTTTGAACGCAAAACGGTTCATCGCGCCTGCTTAATTGCAAAATCACGAGCATTAGGTGGACAATAAAACCGTCTAAGAAGCGTTCAGATCCGCCTAGCAAATGGAAATCCAATCGGAAGTTTCGAGATGTGTGTGCATGCATTGGACTGCGATATTTCGGCCAGCAATTACTGCGACCGGAAATGGAACAGGAGCCATCGTGCGCCGTGTGTCCAATGAAGCGTGCAAATCGATGTTAGTTTCGGTAAATTTGATTCACCTGCTGCGATTCATCAAGAAATTTCAGAATACATAATTGAGAAGAGAAATTGAACGGTATCGTCTCATCGATCCGACGTTGAATTTCGCGAAGAGTTTTGGGAGGGGTTAGAACAGTCGTCATAGCATTAGAAACAATGATTTTTATTATATCATAATTTCACAACGAAGCTACAGAAACAACTCTTTATATTCCATCCTCTTCTCGGTGAACGACGATTATACGGATTCCTGTGCTTTTCGATATTCGAAGACGCTTCCACGTTCGATGAATCCTTTGAGATTTCTTTGCGACAACTGAGCCTCTGTCCCGGGGAAGCCGTACCCACCGCCTCCAGGAGTCTCCAGGATGAAGGTATCCTGTGGACGTAGATTTAGATTTAGATTAGATGTAGATTTTTCACGCAACCGAGTCGCGGATTGGCAGATCGTATACGCCGAGATAAAATGTTTACGAGACAACGTAAACCGCGAATAGGTTCCTTCGGCGCCAATGATTTTTGCAATTTACCTTTTGAATTTTATCGCTCGATTTTACAGCGCGGCGTAAAATCGTATACAATTTATATTTACGCCCCGTGGGATCGACGATGGCTCGTTATAAAATAGTAGGCGTTATCGACATAATTCCTACCCCTGGACAGACTGGCACGGCAGTTTTAGGGCCTAAGTTGATCATTCTACCGTCTGCCCTTCTCAGCGTGTTCCGTCCGCGTTGTCCAGCCGATCCTCCTGCCAAACCGGGCGGATTGTGCACTCTTCTTTCCGTTAATACAGACAGCATCATCGGTGCCCTGTAATTAAGAGACTGTAAACTAGAAACGACGGGCGCTCGAATGCACGTCTTGAAAAGTTAAGTCAGAGCACCGAATCGCGTTTAAAATATTTTTCATTCCGTTGAAACGATCATCGTTTCGCTGGCCACGGTACAGTATCAATATTGAAATTGGCCGCGGGGGAAGAACGAGTTCGTCGTGTCTGATCTAAAATATTGATATGCAATTACGAGCCACCCTGTGCACTTTTATTGTGTTGGTACGGTTTAATTGCCTGAAAGTTATTTCACGGATGACACCGTCGCCGCCAGGGTGGGCGCCGGCCCCTCCGCTTCCTGGACGAAGAGAGAATTTATCGAGAACAACCGGATATCGAAGTTCCAATATTTCTGGATCGGTGATCCTAGTGTTGGTCATATGCGTATGCACTCCGCCCCTGCCGTCCCACGTTGGTCCCTTTTCAATCCCAGTACATAATAATTTGAACCGTAGGTCTCATAGAATTAAATAAAAATTGTTTTAACAGTTGTATACAGTTTGAGACTCAAAAAGAAAGTTATAAATTATTTTAATTTCTTTTAAATTGCAATTCAGAGACGTCTTACGGCTCCACTGCCGCCAGCGACAGTTTCGTAGTATCCCCATTCTTCGGTGCCCAGTGTCACGTTGTTCATGCAGCCCTGCGATGCTGCACAAGCTCCAAAAGCTTGCAAAACTACGTCGACCACGCGTTGGGAAGTGAGGACGTTCCCACCGACCACGGCAGCTTCCTCCGACGGGTCCAGGAGCGAACCCTTGGGTATAATTATCTGGACGGGTTTCAAACAGCCCTGACAATGGACAAAAATTACAAAAAAAATTATTGTTAACGCGTCGACTGCCAGTCTAAAACCATTAAATTGTTTACATAACTTAAAACTTCTCGTAGTACTTACTTTCGTAACCTCGTCTAAATGAAGTCTATTAAAATTTATTTTCTTTAACTCTACCTGGTTCAAAGGAACGTCTCGACCAACGATCGACCTCAGACAGTAGATCAACGCCGAAAGAGTGATGGCTCGAGGCGCGTTGCAGTTGCCCCACACTTCGTATCCGGTACCACTTTAATTCAAAATAATTAAAGTCGCAATATTTTCGTGTCGATCGCGTTATTTCGACTCGTAATCGGTGCGAAAAGCTTACGTGAAATCGCAAACTGCCTCGCCCTTTTCTACGTCGATGTTCAGAGCGAATTTAATCGGGCTCCCGTCGTCCAAGTAATCCACTGCAGTCGCAGTGGTACTTCCGGTATCTTGTAGAAGCTTCCTTCCCACGGACTTCAGCATATCCCTCACCGCAACTTCTGCATTATGTTGAATGTGACCCATGTACGCTTGGACGACCTCGAGACCGTATATATCGATCAATTCGTTCACCAACAATGAGCCCTGGGCAAAGGAAGTTTTTTTATTAATGTAAAGTACAACTAATGATTACATGTTTTATTATAAGTGAAAATTACTTTGTGATTGGCTGCGATCTGAGCCTTGCAATCGCTCAGATTGTCGGCCAGGTTTCTGGTTCCGGAACTCCCTGGAATCTTCCCTGGGGCCATTAATTCTTCTATCAGTTCTTTTTCGCGTAACACGCCCTTGTGCACCAATAAGAAACTCTTGAAAGTTGCTCCTTCCTGTAAAAGAATATAATATTGTATAAACTAGCCCTAAATCAGGAAAATACGAATATAAATTCACCTGATGCAAAGTAGTGGAATGTGGCGGCATAGATCCAGGCGTTATGCCACCTATATCAGCATGGTGCCCCCTGCTCGCCACGAAGAACACCGGTTTTTCCACGTCCCTGTAAAAATTTTTAGAGTTTCAACCCTACAATGACTATGAAGGAAAATATCTAAATTAGCTTGCTACCTACGAGCTGGTCCATGCAACTGTTTCAGGTCATTACTCCATTATTAATGATAGAGTTAATGAAACAGTTGCATTCCTGTTGCGAAATTATTAAAGATAAGTACTTGTAGAATACAGGAGTTATGACGGTGAGGTCCGGAAGATGCGATCCGCCGGCGGAGGGATGATTAGCAAGGATCACGTCGCCTCGCGTGAATTTGCCCTTGAAAACCCTCATTTGATATTGCACGGTCTCTTGCATGGCGCCCAGATGGACCGGTATATGGGGTGCGTTGGAGACCAACCCTCCGTCAGGACCGAATACCGCGCAGGAGAAGTCCAAACGTTCCTTTATGTTCGTGGAGATGGAGGTTCTCTGAAGAATCCTTGGGGGACGGGGTTATCGATTTTATAAAGCTCTCAGGAACTTGCAAGGTTCTCTTAAATGCATCTTATCGGTCGATCTACCTGCCCATTTGTTCGGCGATACTCATGAAACGGTGGGAGAAAATGCTGAGCTGAATGGCGTCCAACTCGGTCGTGACCTCTGCCTTCAGGCCTTGACCGATCGTAATCTTGACATCGCCGCGAGAGGTGATCGATGCCGTGCAATCAGGCTCGATCAGGAGGGTGCTCAGGCTGTCCATTATAATAGCTGGCCCGTGTATCACGTGGCCAGGCGATAAATTTTCCAATTGGTACACTTTGGTGTCCAGATAACCATTCTCGAAGTACACCATCGTGGTCTGGAAGGAAGTTCGCGGTTCGATGATCTTCTGGCGGGTCATTAATTGTTTTAAAACGATCGTTTTGGGTTTACTTGCCTTCTCCAACCTCGGAGGCTCCGTGGACGACGGTAAAATCGAATCCTCCTCCACCTCTGTCCTCCCCACCCCTCGCACTCTCAGATCGTTCACCAGGATCTTTCGATCGGGCATAGTGAAACCAAATTCTGTCTGATACCTTGACCGAACACACGATTAACATCATTAGTTTCACTCTCCCGTTTCTCGCGTCAGAAGTTTCACCTTTCCAGAAACGGTGTGATAAAATCGCCGTGTCTCGTGCCATCTTTTTCATCGCCTTTTTTACTCGGGGTGCACATCAAAGCGCAGTCCGTTCCCTGATATCGCAAGTGTAAAAATGGCTCCGTGATTATGCGAGAATCCTCGAACCCTTGGGCCAACAATTTCCTACGAACTTTCTTCTCGAGGACGTCCAAGCGTTCGTCCAAGCGCGCGAACGATCCTGTTGAATATCAATTAGTATCGACGATCACAGAATTTTCCGGCGAACGTACCTTTCTCGTAGACTTCCGCGCTCGGTTCCTGAGCTTCTTCCACCACGTCGGCCAGAGCCATTCCGTAGGCGGACAAAATTCCCGCGTATTTGTGAACGAAAACGGTTCCCATACCGAGGGATCGAGCGATGGCGCACGCGTGTTGTCCACCCGCGCCCCCGAAACACGCCAAAACATGGCGGGAAGTGTCGTAGCCCTTTGCCTTCAATGACAGAATATTATTTACGAATAAACGGACATAGAAATTAATTTCCTACCTGCGTCAGAGCTCGTATTGGCCGACACATGGTTTCGTTGGCGACTCTGATGAATCCCATCGCCACCTCCTCGATCGTCATCGTGCCCTTCGACTTGTGACCCTCTTTCGCTAGAAATTCGTTTATCTACAAACCAGAGTTGATTCTCGATGATATTAAGGCCCCAAAGAATCGAAGAAAGGGTAGAATGAAAACGTTATTTACTTGATCGGTGAGCGCTCGAAACGCCTCCATCGTGCGGAACTTGTCCAAGGGTTCGTTTTCGTTCGGACCGAATATTTTTGGGAAGTATTCGGGCAACAGTCTCCCCAGGGCTAAATTCGCGTCGGTGACCGCCAGAGGACCGTTTTTCTTGTAGCACGCGGGTCCTGGATGGGCCCCTGAGCTCTCAGGCCCGACCTCGAAGAGACCCGACCTGAAGAAAAGCATCGATCCACCTCCTGCCGCAACTGTGTTCACGTCCAACTTCAACCCAATTTCGTGGCGAAATTAATTCAAGTACATCGAACGATTCAACTCGTTGGGTCGTTGAGAAGGTCCGCTTCCACCATTTTTCATATAAACGGTGTATTAGGTTTCGTGGCGAAAGACCGCAAGAAACGATGAAACATGCTTTTTTACTTAGCAAACTGAAACGTGCTGGTCTTTGTATGAAAAACGAAACGTGCTAATTTTCGTGACGCGTGTCAAAATAATCTTGCTTTCTTCGCAGAATGCCGGTCTTCGCGCGGCTGTGAATTTTAACACGTTGTTGACCAACGATAAGCTCGTTCGTGTTCGAACGGATACTTTAAAGTAAAAATTTGATAGAGCCTTCTCTCCTTAGCCAACAGGCTAAGCTTAAAAAGCTAAAGCTTACCAAGTCGGCAATGTGTAAACGCGGAAAATTAAAGACTCTCAATACCTGAGCTGCTTGTATCGTGACCCCCGCCGTGGTGCTTTCGTACACGTGCTCGTAACTACCACCATAACGACTCACGTCGGTCGAAGTGCCACCCATGTCGAACCCAATCACCGGCAGATTAGTTTCCTTGCCATAGGTGGTCATCGCGTAGCCAACGACACCGCCAGCGGGACCGGAGAGAATGGCTCTGGAGCCATTAAATCTGTGCAAAATGACGCGACGATTGGGTCGTTCCTGCTTTCCATCGAGATCACAGTGTTTTCATTGTCGCTAATTCACCGACAGTTGTCGGTAACGAATGCACAAACGCACAACGTCGATGAAATAGCGCGGACGAAAGCATTGTTCGGAGATTTCAATGCGAGTTCGATCGTAATTGCTATTCCGTAGAACGTTCACTCACGAATTCATCGGGGTTAATCCACCGTCGCTCTGCATGAACAATACATTCACGTTTTCCAATTTGTCTTTGAATCCCGACGAAAAGCTCTGAAACGATTCACTGTTATTCGAAGAAAAAAATAATGATGTTAGAAAACGATACCTGGAGGTACTGTTTAATGTGGGGCGTCAGGTACGCGTCCGCGCAGGCTGTGAAACCTCTGGGGACGATTCTCGTCATAGGCATAACTTCGTGGGAAAGAGACACCTGCGAGAAACCAGCCGACCTCGCCAGTTCACCGACTCTGAGCTCGTGTTCGGCGAACCTAGATCGAAAACGAGACGAATTGAAGCGTCCCTAGGGCCTGACGATCGATAATAATGTCTATTTAGGGTAACTGACATGTAGCTGTGAGCTAGAACCACCGACAAACTCTCGATCCCGGTTCGTTTCAGCTCCTCCAGGTCCTTCTTCAACCTTTCCTCGTCGAGTTCACGCGTGACGAACAAATCCTCGCCGGTGGAACCCTTCACCCTTCGCCAATTTTTAGTGTCCAAGCGACACTTGTCGGGCGAGGCTGGTATCGCTCTGCACCCAACTTCTACCACCTTCTTGTACAGGACTTCCGGCGTGACCACTTGCTGGGAAAAGAAAAACGTTCTGTACCTCAAACAGTCGCGAAACTTCATATTAAGTTTTATTAATACGAACGACTGAATATCGATGCAATTTTAAATTTAATTGAGTCGTGGTACGTTAACGCTTTGATTGTAAAATACGAACCAGGTCGAATATGTTGGGTCGAGCCTGGTTGCCTATAAAAAGGAGGTCTCTGAAGCCCTCGTTTATCAGCAACGCCATTTTCGCGCCTTTTCTCTCGAGCAACGCGTTCGTCGCTACCGTCGTGCCCATTCGGATCCACGAGATCGACGAGGCGTCGATCAGTCCAGCGATCTTTCGTCCGGTTTCCTGAAATCATCCAACGTGTCAGAGGTCGGTGTCCAAGTCGCGGAGGGAAATCGTTAATACCTGCTCGAGGATTCGTCGGATTGCTTCGCGCGGTGCATCCTCGTAGTTTGCGGGATCCACCGACAGCAATTTCATCACTCGAACTTTGCCGCCTGGACACCTGGCGTACACGTCCGTGAACGTTCCACCGCGATCTATAGCAAACTCGAACTTCTCGTTGCCCATTTGTGATACACGGTTTTCGAACGACGAGCCGCTAGCTATCGCGCGATCGACTATTTCACCAGAGACGCGAGAATCTTCTACGACGGTTAAATTCGGTGCACGATAACGTCCGATAAGATCCAGAGCTCATGGGATTTTTGGAATGTAAACACAACAACGTCGAAAACAAACGGAGTGATTAGAGTACGCGTTCGAGCAATGTTGCAACGTTGAAAGTTGATAAAATCGGAGCGAATCGGTGATAAATCGGCTTAAATCAACGTCTTTTCATCTGTATCATATATGGCGGAGTTTATTTTGGAAAACGAGTATTCGCGTTGTCTATTACGCGAATTCACGCACTCGGTAGCAGCACTGTAGCGAGTGTTTTTCCAATTGTCGCGACAATAAGCGTTATCTAATCGTCTTAGAGCGACCAACCGTGTGCACGTTCACGGGAACTGTTTGATAGTGACGATCTCTATCCTGTAATTTACGTCCATTATCAATAGAAACCAGTTTCACCGTGATGTACGATCCAGCGGAGAGATCGAACTACGATTTCCACCGAGGAATGCTCGTAGAGTATCAAGTTTTCTGATAATATTTCTTATATCGAATGGTTAGTTTCGATCATAGAGCGTAGATTGTGCAGAACGGTAACTCGGACGCTACTTTGATAACAACGTGATTCACTGGACTCCGGAGACTGCGCAGAAACGGTCTGCATCTCGTCGAAGTCGATACTGGGTGTCCGGAACATTAAGGTTCATCGAAATGATCGCAACGTTTCTTAACAGGGAACAATTTATTAATCTATAACGCAGAATTCCACTTTGGATACAGTGTTGCTTTACAGTCGTCTGTGCGTATCGCTTCCTTAAAAAATAATTTGAAGTCTTAGTCTCTAGGAGTTTGTCTAGCAAAATGTATCTACAATCGTGTTTAAGGAATTTAAAGAAATCCTATACACAAGATTCTTAACGTACTACGAGTTATGGAGGTCGAACGTTTCTCACGGATATTTTTCTTTTTTCTCTTTAACGTGTGTTTGCTAAACCTATATGTTGTATAATTTTATTCTGCTGCTTGGAATCGTCTCATAGAAGAAGATACGTGTAAAAATATATAGGTATAAATGCGACGTTCTTCGTTTCTCGGTTTGGTAGAATTTCTCAATTCGCTCCGTGTTCTTGTAAATAAATAGAAATTGTACAAAATCTGAATTACGGGTTTTCTTTTTCTGTTCAAAACTTTTTTACTAAATGATTATATCCGAGCTTTTCCCTCGATGATATCGTTGTAAAGCTGTTCTGTAAGTTTCACGTAGGCGCCTGTGTGATCGAGGAAATAAACCGGATCCGTGATCTGCAAACGAAATCGTGTAACGCGATATATGATTCGCGCGTAAATAAAAAATAACATAAAATGCGAGCGTTACCGTTTTAATATTGAAGCCATCTTGCTGGAGATCCTTTTTCTTCAACTTGAACGTACCTGGGGAGGCAAAGTACTTCAGTTATTGTGTCTGAAACGTTTCAGAAACATAATCGATTGCTATACTTGCCAGTCATCGGCAGTTCCGACAGAACTCTAACGAAGAGAGGCCTGGCATACGCTGGGAGCGACTTCTTCACGCCGTCCGCCATTTCTTTGATGTTTAGAGTATTATTTGGATCGTAAATGGCGGCCATTCCAGCTTTCCCTTCGACTTTAGGCACCTGCCAACGTATAAAATGTATGGAAATATTGTTTCTATCCTCCCTTGCGAAATATTGTCAGTTTCTCATCGTTGATTACCTCGACACCATAAACTGCTGCATCTTTCAAACCTATCACGTTGCTGACAACAGCCTCCACTTCGCAAGTGGCAACGTTTTCACCACGCCACCTGCGACAATAAAGGAAATTAAAAAAAGGTTTTTAGTCATTGGACAGTCGACAAATTTATTCCTGGTTAAATCGTTTCGTTCATCGTGTATCGTGTATTATTACTATTCTTTCGAAAGAACATCCCGGTAGGGGAATCGCGCGAAAATTGAAAATGCTTGCCTGAAGGTGTCACCGGTCCTGTCCTTGAAGTAGAAGTAGCCGAATTCATCCATAACCAAAATATCACCTGTTCGAAAAACGCGTTTTAATCATGACGCGGATGTTTTCTCGCGGGTGTGGGGTACAAATAGACCGTGTTTGTTTTACGAATCACCGACCAGAATTGAAGGCGCGATCGCCCTTCCGGAACACGTCGCGGAGGATCTTCTGCTCGGACGCTTTGCTGTCCGCGTACCCGGAGAAATCGTTCACTATCTTCTTCGGGTTTATCTTCCCCACGAAAACGCCTGGTTCACCTAAAAGATAATAATTCAAACGTTCAAGCTGATCATTAAAAAGTCCGTGTGCTCGTGGTTTCCCTATAATATAGAGAAAGGCTTAATACGAATCGTTATTTCTCATCGTCGACGGAGGAACATACTAATGGCAAAAAAATGTAGATAATTGATACGTGAGTTGGGAGTTACGCGAGGTTATAGAGAGCTGATTTCACTTTCGCTCGCGCGAGATTGTAAGAAGTCTAGCGACTCGATGACTGTTCAAACATTGCCTAAGAAGCTCGTTAATACCGACTTCGTAACTTGCACACATAAACTTACCAGGTTTACAACGTATGCATAAACCATCTGGACCCCTCACCGGTTCTCCAGTCTCCTCGTCTACCTTCAACAGGCCCACAGGGTATATGGAACCCGCGCAAAGTGGCACGAATCCCACGGCGCCAATTTTGTTGTCGATGTTCACTGAAACGCGAATTCACAAGATAGAATCGATCACCGTAAAGAGAGAAGACGTTCAATTACCAAGGTTCGAGTTCCCTTCGGTGGCGCCGTAGAATTCACCAATTTGCTTCACGCCGAATCGTTCCACGAAAGGCTTCCAGATGTGAGGCCTGAGGCCGTTTCCGAACATCAGTCGAACTTTGTGCTTGGTGTCGCAGGCGCCAGGAGGTACGGCCAGTAGATATCGACAGATCTCGCCTATGTATTGGGCGATCTAAAAAATAGATCGCTGAGTGACTCGAGTCTTAAAAAGTTTAAACGTTGACCTTACGGTGCATTCGTAATGGACGCAGTCAGGCCAGAATTTTGAGGCGCTGAAACGCCTGCGAAGTACCACCGTGACACCCCTGAGCAACGTCTGGCCCACCCCGATCAATCCTCCCGCGGTGTGATAGAGCGGCAACGAATTATAAATTCGATCCGTCGATCGTAGATTTAGCATGTAGTGAACGCCGCAGGACATCAGCATGTACCTGAAAACGCAAACAATGTCTAGAAGGCCAATTTTTATATGATTTTTTAATGAACCACGTGTCTGGTCGCTCGAATCGCACCTCAGATTGGTGATAACGGCCGCCTTGGGCATTCCAGTGGTGCCCGACGTGTATATGTAAATCAATTTGTCCCTTGGCGTACCAAGAGCAAGGTCGTCGAGGAGGGCTGCCGGATCCACGGTGCGGATTTCCGTGTTCAGATCGATCGCTCCCTCCAGGCACTGCGTGTCCGGCAGCTCCGACCACTCATACAGAGACAAGCCCGGGATTTTTTCCCTTACGTCGCGAATCGCTGAACAGAAAAAAACATTACTCGTCTCAGAGCTTATCTCGTGGCTCGAAAGTGGCTCGACCAGTCCGACGCGCGCTCGTAGTCGCCGGAGAACAGGAATAACGATTGGTTTTGCGAAAAATGAATAATGTATCCCGTTCTGGGAATCCCTGCACGCGCGACTCCGACCGGCAGAGAGCAAGGAAAACGGCGAAGCTGAGAAAGAATGGCCTTCGTTGGCAGAGATTTTAACGAGAAGAATCTCTGGACGGTGGACCAGGCGAATTTTTCGACGCATCACGTGTTATTGTCTTGTTAGCTATTTGGTCTGAATTTTTCGCAAAGTATTCTCGCCTCGTTCTGATCGCCGCTAGTAAAAACGTGACAGAACTTTACCCTCTTTGAATTCCGACCCAAATATCACAGCCTTGCAGTTGGCCGCCTTCATACTGTGCACTAGAACGTCATGGCGGAGATTCGTGTTGATGAGTGCGCCCACGAAGCCAGCCTTGCTGAGCCCCAGCCACGTTCCAACGTATTCGGGACAACTGTCCATCATCAACGCGACGCTGTCCCCGCGGGACAAAGATTTTGTCCGGAAGTAACGTCCCAGACGATTGCTGTACTCCTCCAACTGCATTAAAATCGAAAATCAAAACTCGAATGACACTTAACGACTAAGCTTCTATTACAAGGGATTGACCCTGAGTGATCTTGAACCGTAGGTCAGCGAATTCTCGCGAAGTCTCGCCTCGTACTTGTATTTTATCGAGTATCGGAATGGAGAATCTTAAGTTATTTGCTGTGGAGCATTGAGGATCTCGGCTTACCTCCCGATAGGTCCATTCCCTGTCCTCGAAGATGTAAGCAATCTTGTCGGGATGAGCAGTGGCGTAGTTGGTGAACACCCTCGCCACGGTGAGCCCTTGCGTTTCCCACCACCATAATAGTATGTTCACTCGAACGAATCTGTAGGCGCCCCTGTTTGCAAGAGAAAAACCACTCTGCAATCTACGGATATCTTAGAACGTATCGAATAAAGAAATCTGCTAATAATAGATCTAATTCTCCTATTTATTTCGAATTTCTCTGACCGCCATCGATCTTTTCGGTCGGGGAAACGGGCACAATGGCGTCACTTGTGGTCTAATTGGTTGAGTGGCACTATTTCTCAGGCGAGATTAATAGCGATTAGAATAGGTTTAATTCCATATATTCTACGCGACACGTTTCTGCGATGGGAAAGGGGTCAGTCGGAAAGGGATTGAATGAAACGATTAGTTGGGAAGCGAATTGAGGCACGGCCGATGAAAACGATCGCATGTTTTCTAGATCGTCAGTAACGCCTCCCTTCTCCCTGCCACGTTCCCCTATTGTCACATCATTTCCTTTCGGAATCAATTGGTTAATATCGCGGCCCGACACGCGCGTGACATGTGTCACACGAGCTCAACCTTTCCGTCGTTGCTCCTTTGACACTTCTTTCGTTGCGGTTCTATTTGCCAAAAACTTTTTATTAAAATTCGAAAATTCACACCATTTTATTAGGGATTCACGAGCAATTATTTTTTTTCGTACCTTCAGTCTCGTGTAATTTGGGAATTTAAAAAATGATACTAATCAGGCTACTACCGTCTACTACCCTTATTTCTGTAGGGGGTTAAGACCATTCAGAACACGAGAGAAAGAGGTAACTTTCTAAAAGTCACGACAACATAATAAATGACAAATCGAGTCGTTTCGACCCTCTTAATAGATCCAGTGTTAAAAGTGACGCTACCAAGACACTCTGCATGTAAATGGATAGCCACGAAACCGTGTCAGGGATAATAGTAAAAAGAGGAAGGTTCGAAGTTGTTGTAGAATTCCATTGGAGGGTAGTGGAGCAAACAAGTCCCCGGAGGATTACGCCATTGTCGAGTCTCTCGTGTCGCGGTAAGCATACGATACCGGAGCTTCCACGGTGATTAAATGAAATCAAATAAAATAATAGAACACACTGCGTGCCAGGAGCTATGAAAACAATCTGCATCCGCGGTCTGTCCATCGCGGTTTCGTTGTCGTTAACCCCTGAGACGTTGGTTCGTTAACACCTGCGTAGATTAGTAACTGCTACTAATTAACGCTCGCCGCGATTAGCACAGCGCCGTGAATAATTATAAACTCGATCGTGTCGTTCTATATTTTTCACAACATTTAAACAAACGCTGAAGAAACCGTCTGTGCGTGTTTTAAAAATATTATTTTTAAATAAAGGTAGTTCGTGCTATAAACACGTCTCGACAGTGTTTGAATTTGTAATTATTCGCTGCACTGTTTGGATCGTTGCTTTTTAAACAGGATGTGACATTGAAAAAAAAGGTCGCTGGAACGACTCGGTTATTTTGAAATGCGAAAGAAAAATATTTATGCGAAGAATGCACTTCCGACGAAAGGGAAATTCGACAATTATATGGGACGCTTATGCCAAACGTCTAACTTCTGTCTGTAGCATTTTAAAGCTTCAAAAGCATAAAATGCCAAGCTCACTGAACGATAACGTCGTTTGTGCAGCTGGCCGACTAATTAGCCCAAATAGTGTAAGTAATTGCTCCTTTCCGCGATAAATTATTTCTCGAGACATTAATTGCACGGTATTTCACAGTCTTTGCTCTTATTTGTTCCGGAGAAACTCGAATGCAGGCGTATCGTGCGTGTAATAAATTTTGCAAAAGTAGTTAAAGCCTAAGAAAAGAGAATCTATGCATTGGTCTATCTTAAAATTTCCTTTTTGTAAATCTAGTGTATTTGGGGCGGGGAAGGGAGAAAAAAAATGTTGTCTCGTAGGAAACTGCACCGGATACACCAACACCGGCACAGGGCAAATGAGACTTTGCTCTTCGAGTCGCGATAGACCAACGTTTAATGAAATGTAAACGCTGGTATCCATCACTCGTTCGTGGACAAGGCCGTGGCGTTCAGGTGTTTATCTTCTCGTCGAGAAGACAATTTTGCAAATAACCGATTACGCACGTTCTGGGTTTGGTCCGTGACACACGTGTCGTTTCTTCTTTGTCGATCTCAGAAAACTTTAACACGATTTTTGTTGCAACCGGATCCCGGATAACTGAAACACACGTTCTCAAGAGAAACCGGAGGGGAGGGGAGAGGGGGGACACTTTCATTCAACACGCGATTTTATCACACTTCGCGCGTTTTAACGAAACACAGTCGCGACACCCCTGTTTAATCGATTACCCAACGAGCCTCAGTCGCGGAATAAGGAAACGGAGTGTAATTTTCATATAAACGACATTGATTGAATTCCCCTCTGACGACCGCCGCGTTCCATAATGTATCTTCGTTCTGACACAGCGCGATTGAACGAATATTAGGAGGCCAAGCAAACCGTGAATCGATCGATCGATACCTCGAGCGATCGATAAATTTATTCTGATTCATCCGGAACAACTAAAAGGGTTCAAATTTGTTTTCTAAGTACAAATTTGAGGAAACAAATCAACAATTAAATGATCGAAAAACGAGAAACAACGGGGGGGATTCGAACCTACGATCTTCGAATTGCTGGTCAGACGCCCTACCAACATCGCCATCATCGAACCGCTGGTACCCTAATCTTGTAAATCTCCTTTTTACCACATGGGAGTCTCCGATTCGTATTTTACAAACGTGTCAAATAAAATTTCTATTTGTCTATTATCGTTTAAGGTTACAATTGTTTAAAAACCTGTCCATAAATCTCCACTATCATAATTATTAATTATGCAGACCGGAACGTGATTATTTTAGAACAGATTTCGATGGACGATACGTTCCCCCATTAAATATATTCATTAGGTGTACAAGTTGATTGAAATTCTGACTATCTTCGTGAAGTTTACTTACTTGAAAAATAGAGCGTTTCCTTAAAACAATAGCAATCTATGTATAATTCAACCATCGATACCTGACCCACTATCAATATTTATTAACGTCCTATTGTACAATTGTTTCTAAAGCCAACGATAACTCCTTTGTAAGTAACAAAGTTTAAATAACAAATCGTATCGTGTCGCTGTAGATCAAAAGTCGCCTCGTATCCGAGCGATCGATCTTATCGTTATTTTTTAACGAAGAGTCTGATCAAGAAAGGGTAGATAAGTTTGTAGATATTTGCGATATAATATACGAAGTAAATAAGAGAAGTTTGAGGAAACACGACGCTGCAGATTCCGAAGAGCAACCTCGATGCACGTAACGGAGTAAGCGAACACTGATTTCTTCGTATCGATACGTTGCATAATAAATTGAAAACACGATTACAAGCTGCGAAAATGAGGGCCAATCGATTATCCAAGCTTATCCGTGCTGCTGGTCAACTTCATACTTTTCTTACCGTCCTATGGATTGCATTCGTTTTCTACTCGTTCGGTCGTTCAAACTTTACAAATAAAATACGCGATCGATGTTGAAAATTCTTACACTGTTCCTCCAAAGTTAACACAGGATTTCTTCGTAGAATAAAACGTTTTGGGATAGTATATGCATTCTTTTCTCAAACGATAGCTCCAAAAAGTGAACACTACGTATTCGAGCGGTAACTTGCCGAGCGTGATCGCGGGATCAACATAAATATCATTGAAGAAGCTGTTTAAATTCCATGCACTTCATATTGGCTGTACAATGGTCGTGTCGCAGCTGCACAATGCACGAGAAGCATCAGTCGACTGTGTGCAGGCTGATAACCGAACAAACACGCGTAGATAGAGAATACTGTCACGGTGTATCAATTAAGGCTATTGGTAAACCAAGATACCAGGGAAGAAGTAAATTTCTCGTCGTGGGGTCACCACGATATAAACCAATTTTCGAAATTTTTATTCCATATATTAATTTCTAAATGTTCAAAATTTTTTAATTAGAAACTCGTATCAATATACATCTCATTAGTTATATCGAGCTTCAACGGTGGCTATTACGAAATTTCATTCACTAATTTCTTTCGAAAACCAAAAATATCGTTTCGTGCAAGTAATCATTGACTTCGATCGAGATTAAGGAGCCAGGAAGTATCGTGTTCGAGTCTGTTAATTATTCCTTGTTCGTGAGTAAAATTTGTCCAACTCTGGTGGACGCCATTGCTATGCAACGCAGGACCAGCGGTCGTAATCTGTCGCAGAAGAGTTTGATTTCCTTTGGAACGTGCGCACAAACCACGTCGATCAACAGAGTCGATTTCCGTGTCAACGCGACCCGAGCGTCCATTTATTTCAATCGATCGTGGTCGTTCGTGAAATGCGTGCAATCGATCAGAGGACGAACGTGATCACTCGTGTGCGTCTGACTCATTTGGACGATGAACTTTCGATTCTTTGGTGCATTAATTGATAACAGGTTCGAGAAAAGGAATTTCAAATAGCTTATAAAATTGTTTTGTGCATCGTGGCGAGGTAAAGTCGTTCCAAACATTTTTAACGTTTCAATTAAACAATGTAAAGTATAATGTGGCGATTGAAAGGGAAGGGACTGGATCAGATCGTATTATAGATATTATGCACAGACAAAAAGGCAATACTTTCGTCCATTCTTCTAATAATTTTGAAGAAACAAGAAGGTCAGAGAGACCAGAGTACGAGGGTCAAGAGAATCTGTTTAACTTTCCGTAAGCACGTGTGTAAACATGTCAGTAGAGAATGAAAGATGGAAAGAACCGCACGACAGAGCATGTTAAACATCTTCCATCAAAAGGTTCATTATCATAAAACGAAATTACCAACAATCTCCGATTACGAGTAAGTCAAGTAACAATATTGGGATTTCCATTTATACTTCTACGCTAAATGTGAGACAACAAAGCGTAGACGTCGCTGTTCGTATTAATCGAGCCACGCTTTGACGTTCGTTTTGATAATGGTGTTAATCGTTCGTTTCCTCTCCGAACAAAGCGTTTCGACGCCTTTCGCGACGCTAATGCGTACCGGTTGCTAGTGTCGTCGCGTAAAAAGTGAACGTGATATCAATCAATTAACGATCCAGCATGGCGGTTTCGTAGAAAGGTTCCGGCGAAGGTCCTTTACGAAATACTCACAGCACGTCTCTCGGTAAGGTCTTGTAGAGGGCGTAAATGACGCGTCGGCGGTTTCCGGTGAGCAAATAGACGCCGATGAAAACGGACAAAGCCGCGATCACCACTTCGTGCGCTCCCATGGCTACGCGGCACTGATCGATCCAGAGGCGCGCGCTCGATCGCCGCGTGGGACGCAGAAGATCGTTGCCTCTACGCCCGCGACGCGAGAAAACGGATTTTTTAAAGAGGAACGCTCGGGCACACCGAACCACGACCGAACGACGACTGAACGAACGCGTACAATCGTCCAGTTATCCGACGTCCCAGTGCATCATGGATGTGTGCGTGCATGCATGTGGGGGGCTCGTGTATACGTATCGTGTCCGTGGAACGCCAAGTGATCGTCATTGATAGTCATTGGCGTAGGCACGTCGTGATTTCGTTGGGGGAGGTGGGAGGGGGGACGCTCGAAAATTCCACCAGTTCGAAATGTTTGCGAATAAACGACGAGATTTTTGCAAATATCGTGGCTGATTGTTCTGTTGGGTGGTTGAGGAATATCATGCTGAAGAGGACTCGCTGAAAAGGAAATTGGAATTTCTTTGCTTCGAGGCGATCAATTTATTAGTACTTTCGATACAGTGTAATTTGTTATCGAGCAACGCATGAAATTTATCTGTTGTTCGTTAAGTCGGAACGTGTATCTCGATAAGAGGCCTCTGGGCTTACCTTGCACGCGATACGGCAAATGACTTTCAACGCGTCGGTGGCAGGTGGAGAAAAATAAAGAGCACGTAAAACGCGATACGATTAAAAATAACGAGATATGTATTTATATAAACGTACGGTTATAATACACGTGAATAATCCATGAAAGACAGGTACAAATATACAACGTAGGCTCGCAAAGAATTGGATATCAGTCTGGAGGGAGCCTCGATCACGAATATTTCACGACGATGGATACTGAAAAATAAAACGCCAGTGATACGTATACGTAGTCTTTTTGCGTGTTCGTCTGGGTCGGAGAATAGAAGATGGAAGCGAGATGGAAACGCGTGCAGGTCGTGGGAGGATGAAGAAGCGGGGGAAGGGGGGATAAAAAATAAAATAAATGCGGATGCCCGGTATCGTCGAATTCTCTGTCGGAGGATCCGTGGAATTTCGTTGTCCTAGCGATTTCGTGCGGAGAGAAAAGCCGTGAACGGAGCAAAATTAATATTAGTGGAGAACTATGATGAGTATACCTGGTATCGAACGTTCGAAGCTTGCTACACCGTGTTCGCTATCTGAGAACCAGGTAAAGCACCGTGATGTCCAGAACTGGAAAACGATACGCGTCGATCTGACTACGTGGACTACGTTGGAACGATCTTCGAATGCCCGGCAAATGATTTGCGGTGGAAAAACACAATTGTCGAGAGAAAGAAGAGAGACAGAGTGCGTGATCACGTTCGATGAACACAGACGTTAAACGGGTCCTTCGTACCGGAAATGCACGATTCGTGTTTACATTCGATGCAAGAACGTTTACGTAACATCGACACGCTCGCTGTTGCGTGCCGCGTACACGTGACAGCGGCCATTGCACGCCAGTGTAAACAAACTGGGCGATAATATTATTTATAATATTCCGTCGACCTCGTTACATTTTATTCTCCATAGAACTGAAATCAGACGGTCGAATTTTAATGGTTGCACGCCTAATGAAATATCGAACAGGTGCGAATAGAGAGATCTATGGAACTTAGACACCTGTGTAAATTGTTTTCGTTTTTTAAATTAGCGAAACAATTATTACGCTACTGCTAATGGCCGTGCGAAATAATTCATAGATCGAACACTAATTGTGAAACAAACGTACGATAGTTTGGTGAGCTACGGTGGATGGAAGCAAAAAAGAAATGTTATTGCATAAAGCTAAGTGTATTAAAAAGGTTTGGGTATTCTATCAGCAGACTGATAAGGAAATCGTGTCTGGTATTTATCTTGATCGCGTCTGCGACTAATCCATCCAAAAAACAAGTGTTCTACTGTTCCAAAAATGTTCAAAAACAGTCTTACGGTCGAGGCATTCAAAATACACTACAAACAAAAGTTCTAATGTGTCTAAATTTTGTATAATTTTTAACTATGCTATCGCGAGTTTACGCGATATATCGTCGATTAATTATAACTACTTTGTCTATGCCCCAAGCCCTTATAAGTGTAGAACCAAGGCCAGATGGCCTAGTTCGTATGAATAATGGAGATTCTACTGTGCTATATGGCATAGTCCAAGCCTATACCAAAGGCTGGCAACGAATTACGTTTACCCAAATCGTGCATTTCCGGTTCGAAGCCAGAAGTGCAGTAAGAAAAAGAAGAATACGCATTCAGCATGCATCCTCAAGCTTACGCTCGAGTTTACTTATGTACCGATGATGCAAACGACGACCGTCACCGTGACGGCGATTATGATAATTCTCGTTTTGAAGTTCTGCAGCCACGCTCTTTGCTGCGCCCTTTTCGCCGCCGCCCTGAACTCGCCCCCGGCGACGTTCAAACGATCGCTGGCCTCCTGTAGATCCTCGAGCCTCTCGCCTCTCTCGATCACCTTCTGCACGTTATCGCGCATCACGTCCGTCACTTCTTGGATTTGCAGCCGGACGCTTGAATCGAGAAACCGATGGAATCAAACATGGTGGACGGATATCCTTTCTCGCGAATAAAAACGTATGCCCGATTACCTGTCCATTTTTCCATCTCCCTTGGATGTACTTGTCTCCATCGAGGACGTACTGGGTCGACTGGTAGAAAATAAAAATAAACGGTACCCTTTAATTCGTACAAATGAATTATAACGAGCACCAGAGATATTTTTAAGTATTTCGCTTGAACGTTTCCTGAAGTTTCTAACGAAAGCGTGCAATTTTATGGAAGTAAGGGTAAATTAATAGTCTGTTTCGCCACGCCGGTGCTCGTTACATACGAATTGGATCGTAAAGTCGATCGACGCTCACTTGAACAGCATGTTCTCGTCCGGGTCGCTGTCGTGTTCCAGCAGCAGTTCCTAAAACAGTTCGAATCGATTCAAGATTCCCGCCACGTGGCGACGTTCGACTACGCGCCATGGCGTCCGTCGATGCAAGTGACCGACACTCACCTTTTCATCCTTCGCTGCCGTTTGTATGTCGTCCCGTGACAAATTCCACTTGCTGGACGACGACATCTCCCCCTCGCGTTACCCCGTCGCCGATAATACGCGAAACTAGCGATTAATATCACCTAAAACCGAACGAATGTCACAGCGGAGACTGCAACACACTGCAAGAACACTGAACGCGTAGCCATATTAGTAGTACAGCGCTTGTGTCATAACTTGACACCGTCAACGTTGGCGATAACGTCAAAAGGAGTACATACTCCGAGCCAGAGCAGTTCTGCTTGAGCAGCAAAGAAATTGTATATGCGTCATATCTTTAAGAATATATTCGGTGCCACGTAGGCCTTCAAATCATCAACCCTAATAACAAGCTCTTATCTTGCAACATTAATATACATTTATTATTGGACGTTTTAACAGTGACTTTTTCGATGCATGTATAATTCACAGCTTAAAACAGCTGGTTCTACCTACATTATCATTTTATCGCTGTATTGTAGATACAGATAAAACATTTCAAATCATTCTGAAAAAATTATATTTAATTGCGGGGTCGATTACAATCATTTTTGGTGAATAGACATACCCCCGAAATCCTACGCGTTTTCGAGAAATAAATTATTATTCCAAAATTAAAATATTAAAAAACCTGGTGGGAAAACGTCCAAGTTTGTCGTGAAATAGTTCGTTGTCTTGGACATTAGATGGCGCCTATTTCTCTGCTTCGAACCCTTTGGTGCGAAAAAGACGCCATCTTTTTCGAATGTCCTATAATCACGTACACGTAGTTATGCATTAGGGTGTGTAAGGGGAAAGGCGGTTTTCATTGGGCACCAGTGATGCCAGATTCAGCACCGGGTGCACTATTCACACTATGCCAGATCACGCGTACGTGAGCTCGTGGAGTTTCGGAGAATCGACAAAGGCAAACTGACACATGCCCCCTTCCTCGATTCTCCAAAGCTGTCCGAAGTAATTTTCTAACCTCTGCCAACATGTGCGGGCTTCTGCCTGCCTCTGCTGGCCCCTGCTGACCACTGCTGACCACCACCGATGCTTCCGACAACGTGTGACGATTACTACTGGTTACTGCCAGCCTCTCCCAGCCTCTGTTGGCCTCTCCTGACCTCCGCTTATATTTCTGACGACGTATAACAATTACAACATGCCACTGCTTGCCCCTGCTGGTCTCTGCAAGCCTCTGCTGCCCCCTGCTGACCCCTGCTGACCACTGCTGACCACCACCGATGCTTCCGACAACGTGTGACGATTACTACTGGTTACTGCTTGCCCCTGCTGGTCTCTGCTTGCCTCTGCAAGCCTCTGCTGGCCCCTGCTGACCACTGCTGACAACCTGTGACCTCTGCTGCCCCCTGCTGACCACTGCTGACCACTGCTGACCCTCGTTAACAACTTCTGCCATGATATATATGTATTAAAACATTGTATAATGTAAATCTATGGCAATAAATGAAATAATTTCAAAGAATTCTATGTATTCTCATCATTTTTACCTTTCTTTTCCTCTCCAAATCATTACCTTAGTTATAAGACTCCCTGAAACTCCTTGGTTTCCCTGAACCCACTAGGAAGTCCAGAAACTCAGAACTTTGCTAAAAATTCAGGATTTCCAAGAATTTTCGGCGTTTCCAAGAAATCCCAGGGCTTCCCAGTCCTCCCAGGACCTCCCTGAAACAATTGGAAAGTCCTGAAACAGCTGGAAAGTCCTGAAACTCAGAACTTTGCTAAAAATTCAGGACTTCCAAGTTGTTTCAGGGCTTTCCAGCCGTTTCAGGACTTTCCAGCTGTTTCAGGACTTCCCCATTGTTCCAGGACTTCCAAAATTCCAAAGAGTTTCAGGGCTTTTCAGTTGTTTCAGGTCTTGCCAGCTGTTTCAGGACTTTCCAGCTGTTTCAGGACTTTTTGGGAAATCGGCGAAATTTTCGAGCAAAAATTTTTTGACGAAAAAAATGAATTCTCGATTTTGCCAACAAGTACGAGAGCTGGACACTTTGAGAATGCAATTTTAACCGGAAAAACGGTCTCTTAAAACTAAGGCAATGATTTGGAGAGGAAAAGAAAGGTAAAAATGATGAGAACACATAGAATTCTGTTAAATTATATCATTTATTGCCATAGATTTACATTATACAAGGATTGAATACTTATACATCATGTCAGAAGTTGATAACAAAGGTCAGCAGTGGTCAGCAGTGGTCAGCAGGGGTCAGAATGGGTCAGCAGGGGACAGCAGAGGCCTGCAGGGGCAAGCAGAGGCCAGCAGGGGCAAGCAGTAACAAGTAGTAATAGTTATACGTTGTCAGAAGTAACAGGAGTGGTCAGCAGCGGTCAGCAGAGTCCAGCGAAGGTTGGCAGAAGTCATTAGTAATCGTTGTACGTTGTCAGAAATATAAGCGGTGGTCAGCATAGGCCAGCAGAGGCTGGGAGATGCTAGCAGTAGCCAGTCGTAATCGTTATACGTTGCACGAAGTACCAAGAGTGGTCAGTAGCAGCCAGTAGAGGCCATCGGAGGCATGCAGAAGTCATTAGTAATCGTTATACGTTGTCAGAAACATAAGCGGTGGTCAGCAGAGGCCAGCAGAAGCCCGTAGAGGCCGGGAGACGTTGGCAGTAGCCCGTAGTAATCTAGGAAATTACTTCGGTCAGCTTCGGAGAATCGAGAAAGAGGGAATGCGTCAGTTTGCCTTTGTCGACTTTCCGTAACTCCACGAGCTCACGTACGCGTGATCTGGCATGTGTGAGTAGGGCACCGTCGGTGCTTTTCTGGCGCCTCTGTTGGGCACCGGTCTGCAGTTGGTAACACTGATCCAGACGTACGGTGTCACTCGCGTGAGTGTGAGTGTCATTACTTTCTCAAGTGTGGGAGATAAGCGTTTAGTTTTTCGTAAAAGAAAATGGTAAGTATGAATTTCATTTGAAAAAGCATGTTAAACACCTGCTTGCAGAATCGATTAACTAAATGCTAATTTAAATTGAATGAAAATACAGGCAACTGTCATCAAGAAAATTATCTTAAGTTCATAAAGGTTAACTATCGTAAAAATTTCAATGTTTATCTTTAAGATTATCAAATATTTAAAGTCCGTTTGATATTCTCTTTATCCTGTTTGAAATTTTTAATCTAATATCATAATATTTTACTTTCAGCATGCATTTATTTAAAACGCACAGGGTGTACCGCATTTTTCTGTTCACAACTTTGGCAGTGTTCTACAATTGAAAATAAGACTAAATTGTCTTGTATTTTTACTTAATGCACTGCAAAGTATAAATAGAAAAATGTGGGACAACTTGTATAATGACATTAGATTATTTGCTTCTTACATGGTGTACAAAGCTTTTTTTTTAAGTGGTTCTTAGTAGGAGAGATTTGATAGATTGGTCTTTTCCTACATTTTCCATCGACTTCAGCATAAAATAGTGCATGCTTGCATTGAATGGCTTACCTAGCATGGTACTACCTGGTGTTCCTGGTAGGTATCTTTATTTTTCTCGCAGCCAATGACACCTGCCATAACTGGAGTAGAAGAGCAGGAAAAACTACTTGAGGATGCAATTGGTGTGGTCAGAATGCAGGCCTTCCAAATGAAACATTGTTTAGACAAATCTAAACTGATGGATGCATTAAAACATGCTTCTACAATGTTAGGTGAACTCAGGACTTCCCTTTTGAGTCCAAAGAGTTACTATGAATTATGTATCCTTATGAATTTTAACTATTTATACCAAATTACAGAATGTTTTGAAGAATTCCTAGTAATAGTTTGCCTTACATGTAACTTTAGATATGGTTATTACGGATGAATTAAGGCACTTGGAACTTTATTTATTAGATGAATTCCAAAAAGGAAGAAAAGTTACAGATTTATATGAACTAGTACAATATGTTGGCAATATTGTGCCTAGACTGTAAGTTTGTGACATGAATATTATGATGATACAAATGGTAATATGGTAGTGCCCACTTAAGTGACCATGCTCTGGATCAGCCACGGTCATTTATATGGGCATGGTCACTTCTCAGAATTCAACAGAGACAAAGAAAGAGGAGATACAATAGCTAGCACCCGAAACTATACATACAATTTAAGTGGACAAAAATGCGGTCACTTAAGCGGGCACTACTGTATTTTATGAAATATAGATTATTGATTATATTTTACTGATAATGTACACTATATTATAGATATCTGCTTATCACAGTTGGATTAGTGTATGTTAAAACAGCCCCTGGATTAAAAAGAGATCTGTTAAGAGATTTAGTAGAAATGTGTAGGGGTGTTCAACATCCCTTAAGAGGTCTTTTTTTAAGGAATTATTTATTGCAATGTACTCGTAATATTTTGCCGGATGTTGAAGGGGATGATGAGGATGGAAGTGTATGTACCAAAGAAAGAAAAATAATAAAAATAAAAGTATATATATTATATTTTTCTTTAGGTTCGCGACAGTGTAGATTTCGTGTTGATGAATTTCGCCGAAATGAATAAGTTGTGGGTACGCATGCAACATCAAGGACATAGTAGGGATAGAGAAAGACGGGAACGAGAAAGAGAAGAACTTAGAATTTTAGTAGGAACTAATCTTGTACGACTTAGTCAGTTGGAGTCAGTAACTTTAGACAAATATAAAAAGGTGGATCATAAATACGTTCGACTTGAGAAGATTTTCACTTTAATTGCTAACTAATAATCAGATTACTTTTAGCTTGTTTTACCAGGAATTCTGGAACAAGTAGTCAGTTGTAGAGATGCAATTGCCCAGGAATATCTTATGGAGTGTATAATTCAAGTAAACGTGTTTGAAAACATTTTAATTATCGTGATATAGCAATAGCGTTATAAATAATTTATTTGTACTTTTCTTTAGGTTTTTCCCGACGAGTTTCATTTACAAACGTTAAATGCATTTTTAAAATCTTGCGCAGAGCTTCAAAATGGCGTAAATGTAAAAAATATAATCATTTCATTGATAGACCGTCTTGCAGCATTTAGTCAAAGATCAGATGGTGTAGGGGGACCAGGGAGTCCCAATCAAGTGCCAGGGATTCCACAAGATGTAAAGCTTTTTGATGTATTTAGCGATCAAATTGCGACTATCATACAGGTTGGTATAATTATAAAAGAAGAGGAAACGAGCTATTAATTGCACTTAATTTATACACCCAATGATGACCAGATACTACACAAAGTTGATAAAAATGTGATCAGAATTATTAATATTTAAATTATCCTTACTTGTCTAGTTTAAGTCTGAGAACAATCTCCTGTACCAGTCATTAATTCTTTAAGTAACGTTCGCCGATAAAACTGCTGCATTTTTTGTAGACTAGGCAAGATATGCCTCCAGAGGATGTAGTTTCTCTTCAAGTAGCACTCATTAACTTGGCACACAAATGCTATCCCGACAGAGTCGATTATGTGGATAAAGTTTTGTTGACAACTGTTCAAATATTTCAGAAACAAAATGTAGATAAGTATGTACAACGGTATGACAAAATTTAAATTTATTTCGATGCACAAATGCGGAAATCTAATGACGGTAAAACATTTTCAGACTTGAGTATAATAGCGCTGTATCGAGGGAGTTAGTAAGATTAATGAAAATTCCAATTGATAACTATAAGAATATATTAACTGTTCTGAAACTGGAACACTTTGCTCCGCTATTAGATTATTTCGACTATGAGGGTAGAAAGTTGTTAGCTATTTATATAATAACGAACATTTTGGAAAATGAAACCTTAATACCAACTCAAGAGCAAGTAGATGCAGTGCTTTCTATGGTGTCTCCGTTAGTGCAAGATCAACCAGATCAACCTAGTATAGAAGAAGATCCCGAAGATTTCGCGGAAGAACAAGGCCTCCTTGGTAGACTAATACATCATTTTAAGTCTGAGACAGCTGATCAACAGTATATGATATTAAGTGCTGCTAGAAAACACTTCAGTGCTGGTGGAAATAAGAGGATAAAGTATACTCTACCGCCAATTGTGTTCCAAGCTTATCAACTAGCTTTCACGTACAAAGGGTTAAAGGATGAAGTCAGTAAATAATTAATCTCTAACAAATTCTTCTAAAACTCTACTTAACAATTGTCCCTTACAGGATGAAATGTGGCAGAAGAAATGTCAAAAAATTTTTCAATTTTGTCACGCAACCATTACTGCGCTAATGAAGGCCGAATTGGCCGAGTTACCGTTACGATTATTTCTTCAGGGTGCAATAGCGATAGGTGAAATTCGTTTTGACAATTTCGAAATGGTTGCTTACGAATTTATGAGTCAAGCATTTTCTATATACGAAGATGAAATAAGCGACTCTAAAGCTCAATTGGCAGCTATTACATTGATCATTGCTACGTTCGAGCAAATGAGTTGTTTCAGCGAAGAAAATGCAGAACCAGTGCGTAATCAGTGCGCTCTGTACGCTAGTAAATTGTTAAGAAAACCAGATCAGTGCAGGGGTGTTGCAACTTGTTCTCATATATTTTGGTCTGGAAAGTCATTGGCGACAGGCGGGAAAGAAGTGGGTATCAAGTTCTCTTAAATAATAATAAATACAAATCTAAACTCTACAATTGTTTTAGATGCAAGACGGAAATAAAGTATTAGATTGTTTGAAAAAAGGTATTAGGATAGCAAGTCAGTGTATGGACACATCTGTTCAAGTACAACTTTATGTTGAGCTACTAAATCACTATATTTATTTCTATGAGGAAGGAAACACAGCAGTAAGAATTATTTGCATTTCTAAATATATTGCTTATTAAATACAAGCTATATAAAGGGGTAATTTCGTTTAGGTAACGGTTCAAATTCTAAATCAAGTAATTGCAAAAATTAGAGAAGAACTTCCGAATTTGGAAGTTAGCGAAGAAACGGAACAAATACAAAAGCATTTGGCCAATACATTGGAACATTTAAGAAACAGGATGGAATCCCCAGAAGCTGATAGCCTTTCCTATCAAGGGCTAGTTCTCTAATACAATTAGTACGAATGATGATCTTGTATATAAGAAACTCCACCGATTATTTTATACAATAATTATAAATATTGAAATTAAACGTTTGTTAGATGCATATATTAACACTATTCAAATTACATCAGTTTGGTTGCAAAGATTAAATTGTTAATAATACATCAAATATATTTTGTTAAATTATAAAACATAATCTGTATATTTGTTTTAATAAAACTTTAATGTACATAAAGGTCCGTCTATTCGTTCGTATAGCGGCCATACTTGATGATTGTTCGTCAAAAAATATAATTTTACTCATCTCGCCTATAACTACCATTCTATTAAAAAGGTGAAATTAAACGACTTTATCAAAAGGTATTAAAGGAGATACGACCCATATGATATGCTAATACATCTTTTAATATTTTTTTATCGACCCTGAAATCAGTTACTTACTATTGCCACTTACCAAATCCAAACATATCAAAAATCCGCTAAAGAAGCTAGAGTCGAGCAAATTTGATTTAGGAATAATAACAAGCAACCTTCGATCAATTTGTGAACTAATTTACGTTCGTAATTTAAGAGTAAATTAAAATTAGAAAGCTGACGACTCAAACGACCGTTGCGTGGGTAGAAACTGTTTTTCAATTCATGCGATATCGCTTTGATAAAATGTGAACCACTCCTAATCATTACTCCTAACTTGAAACTGATCTTTTTTTATCTTTATAGTACAAACTTAGTAATATTGCATTTTTGCATATTCTTATAATTCTTAATTTTGTTCATAAATTGACTGCTTTTTGTTTAAAATCTAGTTACGAAGCAAAAACTACGCCATCTGCAGGCTATTCGTATAGAATCATTCAACATCAGGCTGTTGAATTTGGTTGGTTCTTCTGTTGGGAAGAGCAATCTTGTATTCATTTCAATTCATTTGTTGATAATTTGTATACACGTGTTTATTGTTAGATTGTGTCAAAGACGTGCTTATTGTAATAAGTAATGGCAAAAGGACGGAAACATAAGCCGAAGAAGAATTTCGCGGAAAAACGCCGTGAAAAACAGAAGGTATGAACTTTACTGGTAACAATAGAAGTCACCGGCTTTTCGTTTTTGGTTACGTACATCATATTGTACTCGGATTTTATCAATCCGAAACATAAGACATTTTCGAATTTTAACAAATGTTTCTCGACGTAGATAATGATGTGCAACTTTTTTATAAATCATAGAAAAAAGACGAGTGGGACCATGCACCACATCATAGCTATGAAGATATCATTAGAGAAAATAAGGATTTTGAAAATTATTACAAAACCCAGGGAATTGTTCCTGAAGACGAATGGGATTCGTTTATGAATACCATGAAAAAGAATCTTCCAGTTGCATTTCGTATTACTGGATCAAAATCAGAGGCTAAAGCATTACTTAATACTATTAAAGGAGATTTTTTTAAGGAAATCTTAAATACAAGGCTGAATGACAAAACAGAGAATAATGAGGAGGCAAAGGATATATTACGGTGCCTACCATTTTATCCAGATGGATTAGCTTGGCAGTTACAATTAACCAGGAAAGATATTAGAAGATCTGAAGCATACTTTAGGTTACACAATTTTTTAATTGTTGAAACAGATTGTGGTGGTATCAGCAGGCAAGAAGTGGTCAGCATGGTACCTCCTTTAGTACTGGATGTAAAACCTTCACACAAGGTATGTTGATATAGTATATCTAAAACTTATAATTACACCTGATTTGTAGTACTTATGTTAAATAAATTTTAATTTAAATTAAAGGTTTTAGACATGTGCGCTGCACCAGGTTCAAAGACAGCTCAGCTCATAGAAATGATACATTCCGAAGAAGGTGGTCCACTTCCAGGTAGAATGAGATATTTGATCATTAAAAAATAAATACGAAAATTGTATTACAGTAGTGCCAACTTAAATGTTGAATTCCGAGAAGTAACCAATGCCCGCATAAGTGACCGCGGCTGGTCCCGAGCGTGGTCATTTAAGTGGGCACCACTCTATTACTTTTTGATGTTTTACAGAGGGTTTTGTAATAGCTAATGATTTGGATAATAATCGTTGCTACATGCTTGTGCATCAAGCAAAAAGATTGAATAGCCCAGTTATTTTAATTACAAATCATGATGCTTCTGTGCTACCTAATTTTACATTTACAAAACCAGATGGCACAACAGAAGTATTAAGGTCAGAAAAATATGTGCTTGAAAATAATGCGACATGCGCATATTTTAAACATTTTATCAAATTACACGTTTTATCACAGGTTTGATAGAATACTTGCAGATGTACCGTGTAGCGGTGATGGCACAATGAGAAAAAATCCAGACATCTGGTGTAAGTGGAATCCAGCAAATGGCAACAATCTTCATGGGTAATTATTATTTGATTCTTTTCATCGATATAATTCAGTGAATAAAAACAAATTACGTCTATGGATTTGTAGAATTCAATATAGGATAGCGAGGAGGGGATTGGAGCTATTGGAAGTTGGAGGAAGAATGGTATATTCTACTTGTTCACTAAATCCAATAGAAAATGAAGCTGTCCTTCACAGGCTTCTTCTCGAAACTAAAGATTCTGTCCGGATAGTCGATGGTAGAGATTTTGTACCCGGATTAGTATGCGACCCAGGTATGTTGCTGTACAATATAATTTTTAGGTAAATTACTCATTTAATGCCGGGAATACACTGGAGCAGCACTGCTTGCAGGTAGTTCAGCATTCGCTATTCGCTGTTCGCGAAAGTCTCCACATTGTTGGCGAGCACAATCACGATATAATATGTCTTACAGGTGTATCATACTGGTTACCAGCATCGAAAGATTTACAATATTATAAATCTTGGGAAGATGTGCCAGAACAGTGGCAAACTCAAGTTCGACCGAAAATGTTTCCTCCAAAACTAGAGGATGCTTCAAAGTTTCATTTTGAACGATGGTGAATAAAAGAAAAATTCTGACATTCTCGAATTCTTATTTATTTGACTTTTTAATTCTATAGTATGAGGATATTGCCACACCATCAAGATACAGGAGGTTTCTTTGTTGCTGTTTTGGAGAAGGTAAAACCATTACCATGGGAAACAATTAGAAATAACGATATCTGTGATTCTAAAGAAGTCAAGGAAGAATTAAGTTTAGAAGAAGAAGCTGAGAAAGAAAAGAAGAAGGATTTAGCACGTGGCAAAAGATCATTACAGGATGAAGACAGACGAGAACCTACAAGAAAACATAGAAAACGTGTTACTGGATTCAGGGAAGATCCGTTTGTGTTCTTCAAAGATGATGAGGAGGATGTGTGGCTATCTATTAAGTAAGTTACGAATGTTATTTACGTCGATTGGTATTTAGTTTAATTTTGCATTTTTCAGAAACTTCTACAATATAACTGATAATCTAGATCCGAAGTGTTTACTAGTTCGAAATTTCGGTAGAAAAAAGAAGAATATCTACTTTACGTCGCCCGAGATTCGCAATGTTATTATATCGAACGAAGATAAAATAAAATTGATAAATACTGGAGTAAAGTCATTTGTACGTTGTGATAATAAAAATATGGATACCCCATTCAGACTCGCGTGGGAGGGTTTGCGAACTATTGTTCAATATATCGGCGATGCTAGAAAAGTTAGGTTAACTAAAGACGATCTGATAACGCTTTTACAAAATAACAATCCTACGGCACCGCCCGTTATTGAAAAACTTGATCCAGAAACGCAGAAACGTTTAGAAAATTTCGGTAATGGATTTAATACCTTTTAAAAGAAACATTGTCAACATTTGTTCGTACAAATTAATTCGTGTTTTATTTTAGGAACCGGTAGTTGTATACTTGTGTACGAAGAAGATGAGATGGAGAATTCGAACCCGCTAAAATTACAAATGGTGGGATGGAGAGGTACTATGTCTCTCAGAGCTTATGTTCCTATAAATGATGCAATTCATTATTTACGCTTATTAGGAGCTGATTGCTCAAAATTTGGTACGTATTTTTCGAATATAATGTCATTTATGATTTATTTTCTATTGAAAATTTGTATTGTAGAGAAAAATAAATTCAAGGGGAATCGAGACTCTCTTGCTCTCGATAGATTGAATAATGTGGAAGGCAGTAGTAAATCGGAAGTTGTTGAAGAAGCGGAAGTCGCCATTAACGAAGTTAGCGAAAAGGAACACGTTTCAAAAGAAGCTAGTAATAATGAAATTACCGAGGAGGCGGGCGATTTGAATAAAGTTACTATTAATGATATCAAAAAAGAGGACATTTCGATCGAAGTTACCGATGGTGATTCTAAAATGGAGATTTCGAAGAAAGTTACTGAAAAGACGGAAATTTTGAAGGAAGTTACCGTAAAGGAGGAAGTTACTGAACAGGACATTTTGAAAGTCGTAATCAAACAGGAGGATATTTTGACGGAAGTTACTGAAAAGGAAGACATTTGGGAATAAATCATAAACTAAAAATTCCGGACGAATCGAAAGAATGACACTTAATTTGATAATATAAATTGCTGTTCCTTTAATATCTTTATAAATATCAGTTGCAATATGCTTAAGTACGAGTAAAAAATTTTGTATTTTATTTAAGGTTCTATGATGGTGCTCCACTCGAAATATAGAAAACTGTCGAAACGGATTTCGTTTAATGTACGGTGGTAAAACTTATCAGAAAATGAAAATAAATATAAAATGTTTCTACAGGGCAAGAAAGCGACAATGATATTTTAATGGGAAATGCCGTTTTTACTATTCATTTTCTATGAAATAATTTATGAAATTACATGTAATATTTTATGTAATTTGAGCGACAAGTACCTTTTCATTTTTCGTTATTTTCGGCCACTATAACCAGGATATTTTGCTGATAGATTACAGTACAAACATTATTATAAATATGGCCGGATGTAGAGGAATCATTAATTCAAAAATGGCCAGTGCCATAATGTTCAATAATATGTTATTAAATTGTATGGAACTCCTTGCTTCTATAGTATTTTAAGTTTGAAAAAGATGAGTATCTGTTGCGCGTCTCATTCGTATTCGCTTCGGAATAGTATTACACGTTAAGATTTTCTTCTTTTCTTTTTTCGATTTAGTCAATAACAAGATCCTTAATGTCCTAAAGATTAGATTTCAACTTACGACTAGAAATTTGTTTAACACAGAGGTATTTCTACTAATGAAGGACGGGTTTTTCTATAAAAAAAGATTCAAATACAAGTAGAAATATGAAAAACGCTCGACATCTCGTAACGCATAGATAAACTATAAAAGAAAACAAAAGAAAAATCTTTTCTAAAACTTTTTATACTCCGAATTGCCCGAAGTTGAGGGTTGATGCTAGTAATCTCTACTGGTAGGTGAAGTCATTTTTCCGCCGAGATGCGAATTGGATGGAGACTTTGAACCTACAAGTGAAACGAATTTAACCCTTTTCATTGATACACGTTGAAACGTTTACGAACTTACAGGTTTTCACTAGTTTGTTTCTTGGATTATTTTTACAGGGATGTTCACCCATGAGATGTTCTCTCCACTTATTCTGATTCACGAGATTGGAGCAGAGCGGGCAACGGTCATATCCTTCGATGGGATCTGTAACGCAAGCGAATAATTTACAAATTATTTCGAACATACCTGCTTTTATTTTTCAGCCCGTTGTCGTACATACTTAGACACTTGTTACTTTTTCTATGTTCCGCGAACGAATTCTCGTGGATTGCCAGTTTGCAAGTTTCGCACTTTATGTAATTGTTTCTCATATCGCATTCGTCTAAAAGAAGCAAGTAGGTTGTAATTACGGGCATACTTTTTAAATTCAAATCGAACAAAGGAACACTCACTTAATAAGTGTAGGCTTAAATATGAAATTTCCACCACTTGCTTGCACGCTTCGCATTTCGTCAACATAGGACAGCTTCTCCAATAATGAATATTCAACCCTTCTTCGGAATACCCTTGCCCCTTGGAATGGCAGAATATACACATCCTATGAAAGAAAACCATATACACGAACAATGTTATGCAATTTATCTTTGTAATACGACTGGAGTTAACTCACTTGTCACCCTTGTGATCCGTGCTATTTTCGGACGGAGACGTTATACTCGTTGAACTTCCGGTACTAACGACAGGACTCGTTCTAGACGGCGACTTTGTTAAGTTTGCTACGTTGTTCTCCGTAGACTTGGTTCGCGTCGGCGTTGTCGTTTTGTGACACGCGTCCGCTTCTTTTTTCCTCTGTTAAAAAAACGTTACAAAATTACAATGACAAACGTTTACAAATGTTGGTTTTTTATAATACCTGAAGATCGATAAGATCGAATTCGTGAAACAGTTGTCGGTACAACAAGTTCCGTCTGGTGATATCATCGTCCGGAGGCAATTGCTTGCGGACCAATCTGGGATTCACTTTGTACACCAACACCAGAATCCTTTCCGATACTTTCCTAACTGCTTCCGCCGGATGGTGCAAACCCGAGGAACCCAACTCTGACAACGTTCGACAAGTGAGTCCACTGCAACAATTACAGTGCCTTATCAGAGTAATTGCGTTTTAACGATGCAGGCTTAATATCGGGGGTCGACCTCTGCGAGCAAGATTCCATTGAATGTTGCGGGCAGAGGTCTTACGTTTCTAGATCTTTTCATACAACGAGCACGAAGCTATGCGATCGAAGTTACGTTGTTTAGAGTCACCTTTGTTTGTCGGTTGATATTCCGTGATTCAGGATCAGCTGCTCCACCATTTCGAGCCTGCTAAGAGCCAACCGTTGATGCGTGCTGCTGCTTACGGGTCTCGTCAAGTGCACCGGTATTATGTGCAATTCTCTCACGCATTTGCAATCTGCCATACTCAGTATCGTGTGCACAGCCATGTTATGGATCCTCGGCGTAGTGTCGCCTGACTTGGTCAACAGTTCCGGAAGTAGACGTTCCACGCTTCTCGCGATCTCGGTCGACGACACTCTAAGGAAAAACGACGATTTGCGATCGATTTGTCAGACGAAGTGCATAGTACGACGACCATACCTGTCCGTCGCAAACTCTGAAAAGAAAATCCTGATCAATTGCGCTGCCAGGCTATACACGCTGAACACTTTATCCCTGAGAGCTCTGTGCAACAGCAAAATCGTAGCTCTGGCCGTTTTGTTCGCCGAATGTTTCGACACCTCCGGATCGAACGTTTTCAGTTCCTCTTTCAGCTGCATCAGCCCCTCCTCTTTGTCCGTGAATTGCTTCGAATAGAACTTTTCTACCTGAACGGATTAATTATATCAGTTATCGTTGTTGAGGTTTCAATCGAAGGAATCGTTTTGAAACTTGCATCACCATTTCCATTCCGAAGACGGCTATTGGTAACGCGGCTTGCTTCTTCTCCCTGTCGTTCAGCTTCGAGATCACCTTCGTGTCCGTGTTCTCCATGTGGCATTCCCTCGTGAATTCGTTCGTGTGCGAGCTGAATAAACGAATTGTGATGTCAGATATCCTGAATATCTTGTAGAAAATCGAGGACATCTTACTGTCTTAGAGCGGGGATCGTTCTCTCCTCGTAAGCTTCGTAGCTGGATCGAAGCGCGGGCCCCGCCGACTTAGTCTTCCGTCTGAGGGATCCTTTGTTGCAGTTGTTCTGCCTCTCTACGACTCCGTTCGTAGGACTGTCCGTCACTTCTGTACAATCAAAGGATAATTAACCGTCTCTGTCGATGTTTGCGATTTAACGATTAACAAAAACTGTACCGGGGCTGTTTGGTTTTTGATGCAGAGGCGAAACGGGTGGTTGATGAGCGGGGCCAGTCGGCGATATAGCCCCGTCGCGATTAGGTGGAATCACTAGTCTCGGAGGAGACGTGATGTCCTCGGGAACAGTAGCCGCGTTCGAGGTACACGTATCCACCGATATCGGTTCTTTCCCCTCCACCGACGACAGGTTATTTTTTTCCAATTGCTATTTATGCCACGAACAACATATAAGTACTCAAGGATCTGAATCTATTAAAAATGTCGCAACACTCTGCGCTTACCCCGTGAATTTCGAGTAGATCCTGCACTTCTAAACTCTGATAGACCTGCTGTCTGTATTGTTGCGCTTGTGCTTTCTTCGCCTTGGCCTTGTCGTAATCCTCCAACGCTATGGCGTACTTCTTCTCCAGTTCGTATTTCCCGAGTCGTTCACCGGCTTTTCGCAAGTTCTCCATGGCCACTTTCAGCTTGGAAGCGTACTCGAATCTCTCCTCTGGAAAATACATTCGCGTTCGAGCTTTCGCGCTGACGATATAACCTTTTCTCCCCCCGCTTACCTTCCACCGCCTGCAACTTTTTCGCCTCCATTTGCCGGATGATCTTGGCGACCTCGCGATCGACGTACATTTCGAAGGCTAGATCGTCGTACGGGGACGTGTAATGTGGATTGTACGGCGCGTCTCCCTGCCCCGTCAGCTCTTGCCCGTAAGGTTCCCCGAGAATATTGATAGCGATAAGTCCAACCTGTGGTGCACGTTCGTAAAATGCACTTATAAACGCATTTGATACCAGAGGTTTATTATTACGCACCTGCTGGTAAACATTGTGCGCGTTATTGTGCTGTTTGTGCAGTCTCAGTTTCAAGGAGACAGCCTCTGTCTCCGGAAGCGCTACGCTCTTAAGCTCTCTGCTTTTGTACATGGTCGAGGCATTGTCGGACAACGTAATGTAACCCAAATAATTGAACTCCGTCGTTACGGAGGCATTCTCTTCCCTCGACGTCCAAATCTCCAGTTTCTCGGCTGTAAAGATTTCATCGTCCGTTAGCAACTACGAATAAGACAATTTTCCGGTTTACGCTTTAAGGGAGAAGAACAAATTAATTGCAGAAATTGCTGGATATATTGCTCGGAAGGACCCTATGGGAAGGAACAAATATTTCGCGGACACTGCACTGTTGTTCGTCGCACAGCAGTGAATGGAATAAGAAACGAGGGTGAAACGGAAATAGTAAAATGAAGGCAATCCCAAGGGAACGGGGTTGGAGCGTTAATTTGATTTTCTTTCATTGCTGAATTGCTTTTCAGAGAAAGCCGAGGGTAGTCTCCGGTCGTGACTGAATTTTCAAACGCTTCAAAAGAGGAACGATTGACCGAATGTTTAATTTCTCAAGTTAACTTACGAATAAGGTACTGATGAGCTAAGACTTGTATTCTCGTAAGCTTCGTCGGTCCGTGGAGGCGCAGTATGAGTTCCTGAGGATACGTACATCTTCTTGAACTCTGCCAACCCCTTACCGTCGGTCCATGAACATTCAGTTCCAGCGAAGAGTGTCTGTCCTCTTCGCCTGCGGTTATTCGAGACGTTAGAGGGACGAAAGACTATAATTTCGATTACAAATTGCAAAATGATATTTGGGTTCCTCTAATCGCTTTTACCTAAACATTTCGTTACATCGCGATATTCGATACGATCGGGTTCGTTCTCTTTTCTAAACAAAAATGGAGATTCCCATATAATCGATAATGTTTTAACTCTGAAATTATACTTTGAACGATGGACCACCGACACGAAACGGTGTCACGCGATACTGCGGCTTAGAGCACGCTTCGACGATCACAACAATCGAAGATGCACGTTACGGCATGGGTTCGCGTGTTTTTTAATCGAAATTCGCTCGAATAATTTAATCACAGCGGAAAGAACGAATTGGTTACGATTTCGTTTGATCAGGCCCGCTAGAGCGATTCGCAAGGTGCAAGAAAACGCGGAAGCCCACGTGTCGAGTCGTCGGTGTTAATTTGTTTTTCCAGCGTCAATCGCCCGGAAAAATGGAATGCTTTCGACATGGAAAATTAATGTCCACGCGTGGCCACGGGGACGCAGCTTTGTACGATCTGAAATCTAATAAATATATATTTTTTTCCCCCCATTAAGAAGCGCATAGTGATTCCGCGATGTCTTCAGGCCTAAGAAAAGATTCGCGCACAGCTCGAGGTTAACGTCGTTCGACCGATATCACAATCACAATTCGATGTCTTCTTACTGGTGGCGTATACGACGTGGAATCCAATTTTTCTCGGCATGACGAGGCGGTGATTTTCTGACGACGAGAACGACGAGCCGGAGAAGCTGACGGACAGACGCGAAGAGGAAAAAGTACGACGGGAGAAGGGGAGACGTGGAAAACGTCAAAATCTAAAAGGCACAGCCATCTGAAAGCTCGATAAGGGGAGCTTGCAAGTTTCACCCCGGCGCGTAGGCAACGCCACTTGCACGTCTGGCCGCGGCGAAGCTTGCGACAGAACTGCCGTACTGCACCCGTTCCGCGAGCGGAAACTCTGCTCTTGAGCGTTTTCACTCGTCAGAAGAGCTGCTCTCGCGATTTCGAGTCCTTTTATATAAAAAAACGAGGAGAGCAGCTATTCGATTCGAAGGAGCAAAACGGCAACAGAATATTGTTCTTTTGGTTTCTCAAATACTATGTATCGTTTTTATATTAGATGAACAAATATGAAGCGGGGGATCGTTTTCTAAGTATGCGACGCGTCCCAGTCGATTCCGTTCAACGGTGGATAATATTATCGCGAAGATCAACCCTTTCATTTGGTTACGCCGATCCGAGAAATTATAATTCACGTTTATTCGAGGGTTTCTTTTATGACTTGACTCTTCGTACGTGGCACATTGCGATACCGTCTTATGCTTCGCTCAAGTCGAAATACATATAGTCTGTAATTTCGTAATGGATCAATAAACGGAGGCTGTGTGACGTCAGAGGGTGCGGCGAGGGTGGAATCGCTCGGTAGAATCGTTATATGTGTATCGTGTCGGTCATTCACGACCACGTGCGCACCGGCACGTGCTTTTTAATATTAAGTACAAGGGTACGCGTCGATTAATTCGTGCCGTTAGACGAATTACTCCTGACTCGTCTTAGAATGAATTTTCCGTGCTACGAATGCGTAAAAATGATACATTTATTTAAAAAAACGTTCATCGACGTACAATTTTTTATTTATACATGTTTTGATTTATATGTTATTAGGTAGTATCGGGAATGTTTCTTGGAAATCTTGGATCGTGATTCAGCCTATGTAGTGGCAAAAAGATACAGGAGACCTTTTGCAAACTGGAAGATTTCAGACCCCCCCAATTTCGATTCTCCATAAACACGATCTACAAACGAAATTGGCACTTCACCTATAGTATATTTAAGTTGCCTAGCCCTGACAATCATTTCCATCTGAAAAACATATCCCTTTGATACACAGGACTGTATCAGCTTCTCCAGTGCTTCTTTCTTATATAATCTGTAATTTTAACAATGTGTAACAAGCGTAACATAAAATCTGTGCAAGTCTGCTATAAGTTCTAGACCTAAAGCTTCCTGTAAGATCACTGGCACCTGGTCTCAATAAAATTTGTGTTAAGAAATTTGCTCCTCTGCTTATCAGTTTTCTTTTGAAGTCCCAACCATAAACTCCACCACCTTGAGCATACCTTGTACCACTGACAATATCTAGATCAAGGTATCTTTGTTGCTCTATCATCTTGGGGATGAATTTTGGCTGAAAAAGGTGAGCCTATGTTAGCTTCAACAACATAAATTAAAACAATCCTTTCAAGAACAAATTATATACATGATGAGATAGATCAGCATCCATGATAACAATAAAATTCCCTGTAGCATGTTTGATCCCGTGCATGTACGCGGTTCCCAGTCCAAGTTTCTTTTCCCTTGGCCTCAACAATATTTTCTCTTTCCCATATAGATTTTGCAGCTGCTCTGCCATGGCCAATGTTCCATCCGGAGAACCATCGTCTATCACGATTATCTCATAATCAAGTTCGCTAGAATGTTGCATATTGTCGCTTGACTGATCAATTTTACAGACTTCATGTTCTTAATTGTTTAATTTCACCGTACGAGGTTCACGACTTCGTTCGAGAATTGAGGTTATGTTGCCATTGTAGTTACCTCGCGTCCATGTACTTCACGATAAGCCAAATAATTATGGGCAAATTTTCGATTTCGTTGTACGTCGGTAGCAAAATCGAGTACTTGTCATTTTTCGCTAATTCCTTTATATCTTTGTTTGTTTGTTCCTTTTCTACCATCTTGACAGCACTCTCCGGTACACGAAGCGTTACGGACGAAACCTTTCTTACCGACTGCTGCACCGATAGCAATTCACACGGTTTTGTTAAACTTGTCGATAAAACAGTCATGTTCAGATGACGTGTCATGCATATGTAATAGAAGCGGGATTTTAAGTTTCGTATTTATTCGAAGGTGTCTCATTTTGGTATTAAAAGACATTTAAATCATTTTTTAGCCGAAAGGAACAAGTATAATCGAAATATATCTGTCTATATAGCGTTGTAAAGTTGCCCGAACTGTACGCGAAGTTTAAATCAAACTTTCCTTCGCTCTTGACCTGGATAATGTCTTCCAACAACCCTGCGAATTTAGCTTTCCGGCATAAAAGTGCAGTGAAACTTTGTTTCCTTCATAATTTCGGGCACAGTACCAAAAAACATTGAACGAAACCTCATAGAGAAATAAAATTTTCCACCAAGTATAGAGCTTTTCGTCGTCTAGCGGGGTCTTTTAAAGAAGGGAGATTCGAAACGTGCCTGGACATAAACAGCCATCAATCGCAATCGGAGCAAGGAACTTTTGGTGCAATATTATTCGTAGTTCTTTCGCTTTTGGAGTTCAGTCGCGTTGTCTTGTTGCAAGATATAGTTTTGAAAAATGTGCGTCTCGGATAACGAAATAATTTATCAACGCTTCGGTGCCACCGCTTTTAATTGCGCAGCGATGCTATCCTACTGTGCAAATTAATAAATTTTTTAGCTACACAACAAGCGAAGGAAGTAGTTTAGAGTAGTATATTTTAACGAGGATTTATTCGTAAGATGCTCGTTATTTCTCTCGCTCCGAATCCAAAGCGGAAAGTCAAGAAACTCTGCTCGATTTCAAATTCCACGGTTCGCGAGCAAAATGGCGGGATGTAATATGAAATAGTTACAGCTCCTTTCAATTTCAAATACAATTTGCCAGTACCGATTACGATTGCGGGAGATGGTGCGAAAGTATACATATATGCAACCGTTGCTTCCGTCGCGTGCGACAAAGGTCGACCAACCGACGCCCCCACTACGTCGCGACGCAAGAGCGTACCACGACGACGACCTCCCACCGCCGACCTCGAGATCCCGTGGAGCAGCCGCTGTCCCGAAGCAAAACGACGCTCCTCGCTGCACTCTTCGGTCGTCCACGGACCTAGAGTGTTCGTTCTATTCACCGAGCGGTGTGTGGTCAGCGTGTTGTATCTCTGCGATTATAATCGACGTGTCGTCGGTACGTAGACCGGTGAAAACGTCACCGTCACGCACGTGTGAGTCACGCTCGGTAAAGCTCCGGGAAGTTTAAGAGCGACGCGAGAAAATCGTTGAAAAAAACCACGGCGGTTCCTCCACGGATTCGTTAAATCTTCCGTGGGTGTGTACGTGCGGTACATGTGCTACTGTGTAATACCGAGTGTGATAATCGCTGGTGATCGTTTTACCCCTCTCGATTCGAAGCGTTATTTCGATTCGTTCGAGTCGCGACAGCCCGCCGACACGAATCGCATACGCGTGTCGTTTTTTTCTGACAGGTCGATTCCTTCGTTGGTAAAAGTGCAAAGAACCGCGAACGCCGGTGCATCGCGTCGTTTCGCGCTGAATAATTCAATAGTACTCCGAGATGATTTATCGGACGGAGCGGGGACGGACTGGTAAATCGCGAATGAATGGGGCGATAGTTCCTTCGTTCGCGTTCGGCTATCGGGAGGAAAGAGCTTCTCTAACGGGTGCATGCGAGCAAGGGTGGTGACCTTCCCCGGGGGACGGGTGGACACGGCACGGGATGTCCCAGATCCATCTGGTCGCAGCATCAGCGTCGATTAATCGAACGGCAGCGTGGGCCCGTCGTAAAATACGCGTCTCGTCTCGTAGGTTCGGGAGAGAGAGTGGCGGCGATATTTCTGGTCCAGGTAGCCGGGCCATGCGGTATTTTATAGGGTCGGGGGCGGGTTTCTCCGGATTTAGCGTAGGTCTGACGGAGGAGCGGAGAATCGGGCTGGCCGGCGAGCGAGCGGACTGGCTCGGGCAAATACCAGCAAGCATGGCGTACGCTGCACGAGGGGTAGATTGGTCCGCTCCGCACCCTGCGATCAATAAACCCACCGAGAGGGAGCAGCTCCGTGACGAGTCGCGCTACTCCGTGCTTCTGCTTCTCTCCTCTCCTCGTTTCTCCGTTTTCCCCCGTGTACGTTCCTCTCTTGCGTTCGCCCCGTCTTCATCCTGCACCCACCCCCGTGCCATCAACGATTCAGCACGTGCACAGCGTTTCACCGGCGCTTTTGAAAAACGACCGGCAACGTGTTCCGGCGGGGGAGATTATCGCGAACCGACGGACGCCAAAGGCGTTCGCCCACTTTCAGTTTTCGCGCGTCGATTTCCGCGTGCCTCCTTTTTATTTCGCAATTTTCGTTCAGCCTCGCCTCGCCTTTCAACCCTCTCGACGCGTCGAGGCTATCCTCGGACCCCCGATGGGTCAAGCTTCTCGCTGCTCCGCTTTGCTTTGCGTGCCGTTTTCGTTCGCCCGCAGCGACAGGCTATGCTCGATGCACACGACGGTAGCGTTATTGGTCGTATGAGAATGTAGAAACAGTGGGAACTATCGAGTACGACCGATGGCGTGTACTGTCCCCGGTCAGCAGCTTGCGACGATCTCGCGGCCATGCATGATCATTTTCGGCCCGCGTTTCGGGAATCGCACCGAGCCAGCCGCTCCGTTTGAACAACCAGTCGGCCTTGAACCGCACAAAGGTCGCACGATTCAAATATATCCGTTGAAAGAACGCGTAGGCGGGACACGCGCCGATCCGCTTCCAGACGGGAAACGATCCAGGAAATTCGAGATCCGTGCGTGTCTTTTCCCCGCGGGGGTGGGATAGAAAGTGTCGGCGTGGCTGTCGCGCGAACCCCTCCGCGTTCCTCGCGGTGCAACCACGTTCAGTTCTGTGTTTTTATTGTGAGTTCAGGTGAGAATCAGTGCGATCAAGGAAGTAAGGATCAGGATGTGGCGCGATCCTCCAGGAGGTGGGTTTCAAATACCCACCTACGTCGCAACGATGTTGCTATTGGCTCTCTTTGCATTAACGAACGGTGAGTAACATCCCGCGAACGATAACAAACTTAAAAGCGAAATAAGGAAACGAAGAAGAAAGTGAATTATTACCTTACGGTTCGTTGATTTCGGAGTAGCTGACAGAACGTTCAAGATGTCGGGAGGGAAATATAATTAGATTTTAAAGATAATAACACTGCTCGACGCCGGGAACCCTTCTTCGTGTAGAGCCAGGTGTTCTTGGTAGATTGATGAATCAGAATCTGGTAATTAGGGACAATGAATTTCTCGGCCGCGTCAGGTTTTTGAGAGATAAACGATTAAAGACGAAGCAATCTTATTTATACCCATGAAAAATTGCTCGAAAAACCTGTGTCATCGGATTTATATCAATTTTTATATTTTTTAAAACATTTTATAAAGAAAGCGAGGTACGGAATCGAGTAGACTATTTAAATTTAAAGGCAGACTGTGCTCCACTGCATAATGCATGTGTCCAAAGACCACATCCTCTACATCCGTACCACTCTTCCTCATTACGATCGGATTCACCACAGACGAAGCATTCATTTTCATCTAGAGGGATGCCATTATTCCCAACGTCGTTAAAGTACTCGTACATCGATGCCCTCAGAGTCGGAGCTTATGCACTTTCATTAATCTTTTATCCAGAAGGTAAAATTGCTGTTTAGATATCCAGTAAGAAAAATAACAATTCAAAGCAGTGCTTGCCAGCTGTTTATTTTATTAAAGACTTGACATAATCGAAGCAACCTTGAAAAACATTCACTCGCGTGCATTCGCCAAGTCCTTCAGCTAACAATGACGAATCGCTCTACGCTAGTTCGTTTTATTGAGAGTAGAGTCCAGCATTAAACAAGATGGTTCAAAACAAAGCAGCGTTCTTAATTTCTGGGTGACTGGCATTTCCCGCTGACCGGCATTCCCCCACTCCCCCTGCTTCGTAGATTTTAATGCGTTGAATGCATTCTTGAAATTAGAATTTCTGCATCTCATTCAATTTTATTAAAACTCGCGTTTTCCCGAAAGTTCTAGATTCAGATCTTATGTTTACAATTATAATTTGAGGTGTGTTTTGAATTAACAAATGGAGCAAAATAGTGGAATACCCCTTTAAACGATTGCTCGTAGCGTTGATGGCGCTTCTTGAATTTGATCCGTTTATTATTAGAGAAACCATGTGCGTCGTGAATATTTATGGGAAGCGAATCACCGTTTCTTTTTTGCTCGAAGAGAAAGCCCCTCCTGTTAAGGATACGTTGATGATTCGACCGCGTGCTTCGTTGCGTTATATCTTGGCCATCTAATCGTTTATGCATTGAGATCGTATGACGCGTTGCAAGCTGTTAGGTCAGCAGCTGACACGGTAACTCGTCTTTCGTTTAACAATCTTCCGGATGACACGTTTCTCGGTTGCTCGATCAATAGTCCGATTAGCGACGCTCGATTCTGTCGTCGGTTCGTTGCCATTAACGTAACAAAAACCGACTCGTTTTTGCTGAGAACGCACTGCAACGAGCCATAAAGAGTGCCCCTAAGCGATTCACGATGCGAGAAAAATCCGTCGCCCATAAAATGCGTCTGCATGTTAGGAATCGTTGGCTTTACGCAATACGAAATAATCTTTTTCAAAAACTCTGATCGTCGTATCTGCATTCCATCCTGGGTAAGCCTACTGTGATTTATCAAACCTGACAATTGGAGCATCGTTGTAAAATTGCGAGTAAATAGAAAACTTGAGGCGAGAAGCTGGCAGAATCCAACTACGTAGCATATTCGGTTAAGCAGATCATTGGACCGGAGGCGTAATGTGGTCGATGGTGCGAGGCCAGTAAGAATAACAAAGACACGAATTTTGGATACGTCGAACAAGGAAAGGCAAGAAGAAACGTAGAAGCTATAAACCACGCTGCAATGATCAAACAAGGAGGTCATCAAAGTTTGAGAGAGCACGAGTCCTTCATCTTAAATAAAAAAAGCAAAAACACCAAGATGAATCAAGCGTTGCTCCAAGATTTTTAAGAACAGGATCGCGAGGAGAGTTGAATCGAGCAGGTAAGTTTCGAAGCGAAGGCTTTGGATGCAAGCCGCGTAAGTTGTGCTCCGATGCAAATCCAAAGCATAAACAGTGCATGCGATACAGTCGTCATTGCACGATGACTCCGGAATTCAAGGAAAAAGAAGCATAACGGATGTGCATTAATTCCTCAGCGTCGATGATCGCATCTCTCGAGACATCGACGTAACAGCCGTTAATAGAACAACGAATACGTACTTGGTCGATGCGTTTCGCACACCTTGCACTTTCTGCAACGCATTTTTTTGGGGGGGGGAAAGAGAATTTTCTCCAGTCGTAGGACGAGGGGAGCGTACAAAGGGAAGACGGAGCCTCGCCATCGGCGTTGTCGATGCAATCTCGAGTCCCGGGTTCGTTTCGAGTCCATCACTCCGTGAAAGGTCCACGAGGCGTAGGTAGAAACGGAGCACGGAGTGCAGCTGTCGAAGGAAAGACCGAGAAAGGTGGCGGGGCTAGGGGAGGGACCAAGGGAAAGGAACAGCTGCTGTTCCCAGAACGGACTCTCGTGCTTGAAAGAGAATCGCATTTTGTCGGAGCACCGTACCGCCAGGTGAATCCTTTGATTTTACGTCGATGATTCAGTGGAAGGTGGAGCGAAAAAGATGGCCGAAAAACAGCAGCCCGGAGAGAACGTTCGTCATCCCGACCGGGGAGAACCATCGCTGGAACGTTCAAAAATAGTCGCTCCTAAATCGTAGAAATCATCCGAAAAACCCGCGTGCTCGACCTTTCGAGCGCTTACGTTTCCATGCATTTTCGGTCCACGAAGTTTGCAACGCGTTAAACATAAATGTGGCTTATCCAGACATTCACAGTACGAATCTTGAAACACGAAGTTTGTAACATGGACAACTGTACACGATATTATAAAATATTCCACGAAAATGTTTAATAACGAAAGTATCAAGCGTGAACGGAAAGTACAGAGTGGGGCGTGAGCGACCCACGCGGCATCGAAAGCGTTAATCCACCGAAAAAAGGTTAAGAGCCGCTAATCCGGTCCATTGTGCGGGGGTGGTCACTCGAGTTGGTTGACCAGCAATCCTCGATCTTCGGATTTAAATCCCACCACCCTGGTACCCTCTTTTTCTCGATTCAGGCACTCGATACAGACGCTACAGTTACTCGTACTTGTCACGGTGACCCAAATTCACACTTCGCGCGGAATTAGGGTTGAAAACGAGCAACGATCGCTCGCGGCACGGTTCTCGCGCCACTCGACCGCCCGAAATCGCTGAAACGGGAATAGTCGAGCTGTGTCGCGATATCGAGCACGATGGCCCCGGTCCTCGTAGCGTTTTCAGATGTCCCGATTGTTATGGCGGTCACGATCTTTCCGGTCCCGACGCGCGTAAACGCGACTCGTAAACGTGAGTCACACGCGTAACGCCGCGGATATAGGATACCAGTATATTATAGCCGCGTACGTGCGCGTATGTTTGTTGGAAATATATTCGATGCAGCGTGTCCGGACGTTTCAAAGCTTGCCTATATATAGATCGCAGGCCGGTTATCGACCGCCAGGTATCTCGTCTTTGATCGTGAACGCGTAACGCTGTAACTTTACGAAAAATGCTTTTACGGTGTACGCTAGCCGGGTCACTGATCAATGATCCATTCCCTCTCGAACGAGCACGTTGACGAACAAGGTGGCCATTCAGCGTACGAGTCGTGCGGGGGCTCCTGGAATTCGGTCACGCGACCTCCTCCGAGAGGGTGGTTCTCGAAAAACCATATTTAATCAGCTTCTGATCGGTGGTAGATGTCATTAGGATTCATCGTCGCGATAGAAAAAAGCTTGAACCGAAATAAAAATATAACAAAACGAGGCATCGGCGATATATCACGCTTTTTATCCACGCCTCTTGAATATGATGGATACGCCGGACTCGATGGTTAAGCTACAACTGTTATACGTCATAGATCATTTTTCATCGAGTGACCGCTTTTGTATTATTTGTCGTGCAGCAAGCAGAATCAATGAAAACATCGAGCAAGCGGGACGAAACGATGACAAACACGTTGTCCCCTTCCAATTTAATAAGTTCGACAACCTATATGTCCTCGCTACGAAAATAATTCCGGCATTTAATATGGAATGCTCCTTCAAAAATGTATTTCTGTGGCGCGGAAACTGTTGAAACTGCACCGTACATTGCCGTCAACGTTTTTAACGAAGGTCAACGTACATTAATAAAACTATATAACGCGATGGGCATGATCGTGGGCGAGAATGTGTAGACAATGCCGGGGAATTGCGAATACAAATCGTCGACCGCTCAGCATCGTTCTCCTTTAACGCTAGATTTACGAACAATGATTTGCACGTATTTTTATTGCAACCCGTCACGTTGTCGGATGACCCGATATTTTTGAACAAAACTGGAACGTGCAAGGACGAAGAAAAAGTGAATAATATACCGAGACTCGTCTATCCCTTTAATTCTCGGTTGATTTCAATATGCGGGGCGATCGCATTCGGGGGTACGGTAATTAAATTTGCGCGTCGTTCGTACGGAGATAACGAACTAAGAATAGGAACGCGAGGAGGATGAAAACGAGCGATGTCAATCTGCGCGCGACAGGAGTTCCGATACGACGAAACTTGGCGAACACCTGTTCCCTGGTACCTGCGCGCCTCCTGTCGCTCGCGTTACTCGTACGGCCCCGCCAACCGGTTCTCTCGTGACTCGATTTTACGGCGTGGTGCGTTTATCCGTTCCCGCGATGGTTAAGCCGGTAGGCGGTTACGCGGGAAGAAAGTAGCACGGGTAGCTCTTGTATAATCGTAAACACGCGTAAACGCACGACTGAAACTGCACCTAAGAATAAATGGCGCCTCGAGCGCCGAAGGATCCTCCCGTGATCGACGAACCGATCGAACCGTTCGCCAAGGAGCATGGACGCCCGTCACGGAAAAGGAATCACGCATTGCCGTCTCCCTTATGGTCACGTGACGTTGATGGCATATTATTCAATAGCAGACCGGGCAACCTGTTGTTTGCTGCAATTGGCGACGCGCCAATTGGACGTGGGTGTCGCGTATCCTGGACGGGGACCGATGATAAGCGAAACCGAAAGACACGCAACAAAAGTTCCATTGACGGTGACAGTCTCCACTAATTAAATCTCTCGGCGTACCTTTAGCTCCGCGACCACGAGAAACGTACTGTCATACCGTGAACGTTGGTCCACGATCGTTGTTTCTGGGCAGGATCATGCGCTGGTGAGATTTAGGAATCGGATAGAGAATATATCAATATGGGATTCTCCAATAACAGCAGTTAAGTTTGGAATCGAAGCCTCCGGATCTCTAATCTCTAGAGTTTCCCAAAATTAATACGATGCAATTTTATACCGAACCCAAATTATCCCCTTGTTCGCAACACGGAAGAGTATCGCCCTTACACTCTTTCCCAGAGATTTTACTCATTTATATGAAAAACTGTCGGGACAAAATGATAGGACAGGTATGATAATTCATGTAAAAACGTATTAATATATTCAGGCAAAATTACACGTTCTCATGAACTTCTAACGTGCGGCTAGTTAGTGATTTATGTACTATCGCGCAGGGGGTTGATTTCTCGTGAAAAAAATAAGTCAGTAAACGTAGAATAAAGTTTTCGCATGCGAGGCGCGACACGACTTTGAATTAAACATGGGCAATGCCATTATCTGCTTCCTGTCATTTGCCACTGTATATCCACCGTCGATCGGTATTTTAGTATCTTTTATATTGTATTCAATTAAACTGATTTCGTACAGAAGGGTAAGACTGTTACTTTTTTAAATGAATTTTATTAATGCAGCAACTGTTTGAAATGTCTACCGTGTTGCTGCATACATAGTTGTGTTCTTTGAACTAAATTAATATGCGGACCGTGTAGCGCATTACGCGTATATTTTAATTCATCGAACGCCAAAATAATGTTTCCTTCGACAATTTTATCTTTCACGTGTCGTCGATAATTCCTAAACAAAAGATCATAATTGGATCCTTCCTTAGATCATAGAAATAATAGGGCCAGCCATCTGCCATGTGCGAAGATAACTTGTCGCCATTTTTCCCCGTATCTCGCGTGTTTACTATTCTCTATTATCATCGATTCACTGTCAATCTCCTTCTTTGTATTTAGTCCAATTATTTGTACGACTTGCGATTACAATTACCATGCAATTACTTCGTAATAATCCTAGTAAATGTAATCGGATTACATATGCCCAACACTGACCCCAAGCTAGCGATCGGGACCCTACTTATTTTTAATATACCCCTCTGACGCATTAACCACCGACGAGAGCAACATTTGACGATGACACAGTTATAATACTAGCGAACGAGCATCGATTAAAGTCCAACCTAGAAACACCAACCTTGGAAAAAGAGACCAGCAGGTGAAAAACAAAGTTCAGAAAACTGCACCACTTTCTGGGTCGTCGACTAAAACTTCCAGTTGAAAACAGATTTTGCTCTTATAGAAAATCGCTCTAAAACCGGTTTCGACTTATGGTATTCGACTGTGGAAACGCGACAAGTCGACCAATGCAAATTTAATACGGGGATCTTAACTCACAAAAGGTTTCTCTTCTTATCCGCAGTGGCTTACGCTGAGGATGAATCTATGGGACCGGTATTTGTCAAGGAACCACCAAACCGAATTGACTTCTCAAACGGAACCGGAGCTGTCGTCGAATGCCAGGCACGAGGAAACCCCCAACCGGATATCATCTGGGTCCGCGCCGACGGAAGTGCTGTAGGGGACGTTCCTGGGCTCCGCCAGGTACGCTTTTATTTCGGCAAACTATCGAGGCCGACTGTTGTTTCCGTACACCGGATTTACAGAGCAAAGTTGTTCTTGGTCGAACGAATATATCCCTTCTCGAATTTCGGTCAAGTCTTTGCTTTCCTCGAAAGTGCCTCTATATGCATGCACCAGCAATGCAATTAACTTTTCAGATTGCAGTTAACTACTGCCGCGCGCTAAATTAATCGCGAGGCGAATAAGAACTCCTACGGTCGAAGCCATTACTGTCGTGTAAATACGCCCAAGTTTCTTGTTACGAGTCCCGTGTACAACAATCTCGGTACATCACACCTACTCGTCATACTCGGTGCATCGAGCATCGACCAACTCTTACGACATTGATATATCGTACACCCACGCCCCGATGGGGATCGAGTAACGATCCATGGACTACGGATCGAACTTCCTCTTACTCCCAACGCGACTAATACCGTTATTAGTGCGCTTCCCACTATCGAACGCTTCGACTCCTACGAGTCGCGCGTTTACCGGTGGAACCAACGATCTTACGTCACACGTTCGACCAAGAAGGCCGAATTAATTGTCGCCTGATTAATCGCGAATTAGAACGTACTTTCGCGACGAAAAAATACCGATGTGCGTGTACAGGTATTGCCGAACGGAAACTTGGTCTTCCCGCCTTTCCGCGCCGAGGATTATCGTCAAGAGGTTCATGCTCAGGTTTACAGCTGTTTGGCACGATCGCCGGCAGGTTCGGTTCATAGCCGAGACGTTAACGTGAGAGCCGGTAAGTGTTATCCTCTTACCTTGCATTCCAAAATTACACGTAACGACGTTGCCTGGCCAGCTGTCACTTTCCAAACAAGATAACGAGGCGTACGACACGCGATTAAACTTTCATGGGGCCTAAATCGCGAGCGTCTTGCCACCGTCCAAGCTCCAGACCGACGATTTTTCCGACAATTTTTGTCGTTTACGTAATTTTTTGAGATCGAAGCAATGAATCTTGTTGCTTTACAGGTATTACCGTCAATGAATTTCGAGTTTCAGTATTTCTAATTGACACCAATCTCCAGAATTACCAATTTCAACGGCACATTTTTTCTTAGCTCGTTCCACAATTGCATGATCTTAATCGCATCCCACGTGCGCGTGATTAGGAATTACAAATTTGTGGTTGGCCGTCCGCTGATCTGCCCGTAATTTTCCAACGCGAAAGACATTGCTGTCGGTATTATTTTTACTTTGTTAAAACAAGATAAAATTATCAATTATGATTAAAAGTCGACGATGGTAAGGCGTTCGAACGTTGGCCAGGCACGGAAAAATTAAAACAATTTATTTCCAGCCGTTTCGAACAGCGAACGAACGAGCAAAGACCATGAATTCGGGTCAGTCGCGTTTCGCGTTTGCCCGTCGCGATACGCCGAGCTCAGGATATATCGGTGGCAATTATCACGGTCTCTGCGGACTTCGAGACATAATTAGAACCGGAATTCAATAATGCGTAATCGCCGCCGCCGCCGTTGTTCGCGAAAACATTTACCGTTCTTCAGTCTCTGTTAGCTATTCCGATCGCAGAGCCGGATTTACATCGTTCGAGTTGAAAAGTCTAAACATTTCGTCTGCGTTTTATCGGGACCGAATAAAAGGGTATAAATACTTTGTAAATTCGGTTTGAGAAACGCGGGATCGACGTACCGGGGACCGTCGTGTAACGAAACGTGGCATTTCGCGATCGAAAGTTTTAATTGCCGCAGCGCAGCAACAATGCTGACCTAATTTCTGCACGCAATTAAAGCACCGCGGCGCGTGTAGCTGCTCGAAAACCTCCCGACGAAATATTTCGAACGGAACGCTTAACGAGAGACTGGAGTGCGGCGTATCCGCGCGAATGCCCGTTTTAAATCCACGTTTCAACGACGATATATCGCAGTGGTGGCGCAGTACTACGACACAGACGTGAACAAGGAGTACGCGATCCGTGGAAACAGTGCCATTTTGAAGTGCGTCGTTCCGTCCTTCGTCGCCGATTTCGTCAAGGTTCTGTCCTGGCATACCGATCAGGGAGAGGAGTTCATACTTGGAGACGATTACGGTACACCACGAGCGATTCGATCGAACGATCCATCGTTCTCCGTACGAGCAGATCGAAGCCTGGTAGCTACCGCGACTCGTTCGAAAAGCAGCGTCTGAACGATCGCGTGCACGACGCTCGTCGATAGAACTCGGCGTCTAGCCACGTCGTAGCAATTGTCATGCCATAGCGAGCCGCGAATCCATATAAAGTGGAGCAATGGACCGTAAGCTCGGGTCAATCGCTCCTTTGTTCGCATAATTGCTGCACGTCGGAGTGGTCCTTAGTTACCAACGGGGCTCGAACTTTTTTCCAGCTTCACAGTCCCCCCTCAAAACCGTAACGCTTTTGAAACGATTTCCTCAAAATTCGAAACACCCTGGTACCGTTTTCACGGTTCCATATTCTCGAAATTTACAATTTTCCAACGGAAACCATTTTCATACCATCGTTAATTAAAAAGAGAAAAGAATCCGAAGAACGAGGACCACCCTATTGTGCAGACGGGTGTATATACGGGCGAGAATATCGTCGCCCGCCTCGTTAACGTTGTTCCCAGCACGGTGCTTTTACCGGGGAGCGTAGTGGCTCAAATAATTGGAGCACATCGTCGACATCGACGTCGACGTCAGACGTTCCTCTTCCCTTCCCTCTGTTTCGTCACCGTGTGTCACCGTGTCGGTGTGCCCGCACATGCGTGGAGGCCGCGCACACGAAGGAGTCAAAGTGCACCGATCGTTTGCCGCGGTGTCGACGTGTTCTCCATCTGGATGCAAGCTCGTCTGAGCTCGCGACTGCGGCGTAAGATGCTACCTCGCGAATCGATCTGCTCGAAAGGGAGACGACCGGAACGAACGCGTCACCGGAGAAGCTGTCGTCAACGTCGTGCGTCCGAGCTGCAACCGCGGCGAGAGCATCGCGATAATCGCGTCACGACGGGCACACAGGCTCGCCACGAAACGATGGAATCGACAATGCCCACCGGTCATTACAGATTTATCCTAACGCGGGCGTAGCTAACCCCCATAAATCACTCGATTCCCGTCCGCGCGTCAGATTATCAGCGTTCTCTGCCGTACCGTTGTAGTGGTGCACCAGTATTATCAGTCGGAAGTCAACAACGAGTACGTAATACGCGGCAACGCGGCCATTCTGAAGTGCAGCATACCCAGCTTCGTCGCGGAGTTCGTTCAAGTGGTCGGCTGGCAGGACGACCAGGGGAATTCTTTTAATCCGGACGAGAAGAACGGTAGGGGGTGGTTTTTAGAGGCCGACGAGAGCAGTGGTCGGATCGTTGGGCGCGTTAGTCAACGTCGTATGACTCGCGAGATTCGTTTCGACCGCGGAGGGTTGCGCGCAAAGGAACGGTTCTCGCATCCGAAATAGACAGACCGATTCATTGAACCGTACCAGACGCTAATTACGTAACGCTTCCCGTTGATTCCGACCGAGGCTTCCGGGGTGCAAACCGCGCCCTTTCGGAACAGTTTCCACGGCACCGCGAAAGCGGCCGGCCGTCTGCTTAAAATATACATGCCCCATTGATTACCAACCCGGAGTTTTAATTGGTCAACCGATCCGCTCAACTACTTGTTGGCTAATCAATTAAAAAACGCGAGGAGGGTGCTCCGTTTGGCGTTCGAGCAACGGCCGCCTTCTTCGCTGATCTCGTTAGGATGTCCTATTAACTTCACGATCTTCCTTTGTTTCCTAGGAAATTGTCTCCTTGTCTCCGGGGTTACTTTCTTACCGCGAGAGCACTTTATTTTTCGATTAACCTGGAAACTATATACTCTGTTTATTGTTTAAGATATCAGACTCTAAAGTGCAGTATTCTCGATCCGAGTCTGATCTTTCTTCTCCTTGAAATGCGTCGCATTTACACGATTCCGCTTGCGTGGAAAACTCCGTAGCGAATTAATCGCACTTACTGTATATTGATTAGTACGCGTCGCAGAAGTTTTAGCCGCTCCTTTTCTCGACGACTCTGTACTTCCCGGTCAGATGCACTTCTCTCGCGTTCTTGGCACGGTCAGCCTTCCTTCGTTTCTTCGTTGATCACCTGCCCAGTTCGCAACTGCAGTTAGCGATCAATGATCCGCGATACGAGCACGGAGACTCCGAAACGGACAGCGACCGCCAGTATCGGCGAAATACTTTTCCAAAATGCATGGTGTCTACTCGAGAGTTTAGGTGTTAAACGACAAAATTATAGAATTCCATTTGGATGCAATAAAATTACATCGAGCGTGTGCATCGATGCCTTGCGACACCGTGTCGTACCTTTAACCGTTTTATAGATCTTCTCCCCGGTCGCGCGAGACACTCTGTACGATTGGATCGCGCGAAAGAACTCTTACTCTTAATGACGCTACGGATGGCGGCTCCTGGGAGCAGAACCGAGCGGCGGATATCGGGCATTACAAGACCCGGAAGCCTCGGAACTCGGTTCCGCGAAAGTCTATAAACATCAATCGCTCGACGCTCATCGTTGCACACCTGTTTCCTCTAGTCGTGACTCAGTACTACGAAGCGGAGGTCGTGTCGGAATACGTGATTCGCGGAAACGCAGCCATCTTGAAGTGTACCATTCCCAGCTTCGTCGCGGAATTCGTGTCGGTAGACTCCTGGGTGGGAAGCGACGGTTCGACCTTCAAGCCGTCCAACGACTACGGTACTGCATTCTTGGCCCTTTTTTCCCGGTCCCGCCTCGCCTCGGACCCTTTTCTCCCATGGTCCCCGATGCTCCAGTCCCTCGTGGCTGTTTTTTTTCGCGCCGGGTCTAAACCCCGCGTTCCCCGCCAAACTTGGTAAAAGTTCAAAGTGGCACGTGGTAACGATTCGTTTCCGGTCCAGTCTGGCGGCAGTTGCACGGCGGCGGCAACGGCGAGGGTTAACGAACCATCAGCCGCGGCTCTCACGCCGGGATTATACGACTCTCTCAAGAAAATAAACGAATTAGATTCCGACGCGTCCGGCGTGCTCGGGCGTCTGTTGCTAGACGCCGTCGAACGCGGACTGCTCGCTCCAATTGGCGATCCGTGGACCGCGAAACTCGGAACAGAAGAAGCTCGTCGAGAGGGTCGTAAGCTATTTTAGCGGCGACTCGATGAGATTAGGTAGATTCGATCGAGCGTACAGTCAGCTGGCTGTTTTCCGTGCAGTCGTAACGCAACCTTATCAGCCGGAGATTCTCACCGAGTACGTGATCAGGGGCAACAGCGCGATCTTGAAATGCAGCATCCCGAGTTACATCGCGGAGTTCGTTACGGTCGAGGCGTGGATAAGGGAGGACGGAGAGGTCTATCTGCCGGAGGATCCTGCTGTCGGGCAGGGTACTATGGGGGTTCAAGTTAATCGGGGTTAGACACGTCTCACGGTAAATTCGCTCGTCTGCCGGCGACGTTGCGTGGTCTGCGGGCACTTTTTCCTCCCGCGATTAATCTGTCCCCGAGACAACCTCGCGATCAAGCCAATGCGAAACGGAACGATCGCAAAAGGCGACGAACGGTGGAAATTTCCTTTTAAACGTCACGAAGGGTGGCGCGGGCGAAGGACCCTGAGGCGCGTCGACGAGTTCTGTGAATTTAACGCGTTCGACTAATCCCCAAGCGTGTGTTTGCGTACCGCTTCTGCGTTCATCCAGTCTGTGCACCTAATCGTTTAACATGTGTGTCCTGGCGTGCCCGCGCGGGCAGTCGTTTCGCAGTTCTACGTCACCGAGGCCGAGAACGAGTACGTGATACGGGCGAACAGTGCGATCATGAAATGCAAAATACCGAGTTTCGTGTCCGAGTTCGTTCAGGTGGATCAATGGGTAGCCGACGATGGAACGGTATACACGACCGGGAACGACTACGGTAGGCGGAGGCTGTTGGTCTCTCACTCTGCGTACTTGCGAGAGAACGTTCAATTGCTTCCTTCTTTCGCTTCTCTACTTTCCCCCTTTCCTGGACGAACGAACGAACTCGCTGGGGTTAGAACGAAACCGCGCGCGTCACGCGACCACCCCTCGCGTTCTCTTACCCCGAACGTGTCGCGTCGACGGTGTATTCTGGGAAAACGCGCGTTGCAGTGGTCCAGCAGTTCTACGAGACGAGGGTCATCGACGAGTTCGTCTTGCGCGGCAACACGGCAACCTTGAAGTGCCTTGTGCCCAGCTTTGTGGCGGATTTCGTAGACGTGTTCGAGTGGCTGGCTGTCGAGGACGGGTTCACATACTCCGCGAACAGCCAAGAAGAAAAGGGTACTCCTCTCGTCTCGATTAAAAAGTGGGAGGAGAGATATTTAGCGGGTCCGCGATGAGCACGACCACGACCCTTTCATTGTTAACAGTGGCTGCAGTTCGATCGTCGTTTCCTGCCCCACGCTGTCCATTTTGTTTCAGCGAGAATTTCGAACGTGAATAAAGCAATCTAAAGGTTCGATAATTTGTCTAAAATAATCCCTGTGAATGTCAGGGATACGAACTGCAACTTCCGATCGAAATTCTGTCGGAACTAAATGGACAAAGTGTCCCGTTAATCAGTTTTTGAGACTCGTTTTAGTGGCTGCGATGTTTTCAGTTCGATCCTTTCGTATATTCTGTTTGAAGTTTGTCTCGCGGCCCCGCCGGAAACAGTTTCCATAACGCGGCGAACTCGATTTTCAGCCTGCGTTTAACTCCGCCAAACAAGTACTCCCGTCGCTTTTAATGGAATTAATAAATTGAATTCGCCATCGTGCTCATCCCCCCGCGCGAACCAGACGGCTCGCTGTGCGCTTTGACGCGCGCGCCGACGGTCGTCATTGTCGGCTCTCAGGGTGCACAGGATGCACAAAGCACGGGGAAGGAGAGGCGGCCCGATAGAGTGGAACGCGCAATTTGCTCGTCTATGAGAAGCTTTTGCCCTTTCTGCTCACCGATGCAAACAAGAACGGAGGCAGAGCGCGCGGCTGGCAGTGGCCTCGTTCCTCGCCGCGATCCACGGGATTAGGTTAAGTCGAGGATTAATCGAGTACGCGATGCGAATTAACGTTCTCCGCGGCCAGGACGATACAGTTTCGTTCGGCTGACCACCGTTCCGAAGGCATCACGCGACAGGCGTAAATGGAATGTAATTCGTGGACGGTTACCGGGTAAACCGAGGTGTCCGATCGATCGAATTCAATCCGCAGGATTCGGGGGACACGGACAATATTCATGAATAGCCATTTATGAAACGTTCGTACATCCGACGGAGTCAGGAAATTTTAGTTATTTAATCCATATACGCGGGGAAAGTTGTAACAGAAACGATCGAGGGTCGGCGTAACGTGGTTTCGTGCTGATACGGTTAAAGAATCGAGCATAGCAATGTACTTTCAGCGTTTCCTATCCGTCTTTGTAAATGAACTCTGTGGAGAAAGAACGATCAGTCACGGCAGGAGTCAGCCATTTCGGTCAGACTTCGAAAAATCTGCGACTACTTAGAAACAAACGTTGCTCACGCATCTGGGGAAAACTATATTTCTAAAACGTGCAAAAGATGAGGTAAAACATCTAAAAAATTCAACTGTTTCCTCTTTTAAACGGAACTTTATAATTCTGTTTCGGACTATTGGAGTTCCTGACTGATTGTGAGACACTCTGTACGTACAACTGTAGTACGCGGAAAGCTCCAGAGCGAATTAGCCGAGAATGACACACATTAATTAGATGAGTGTTACTCGTTATGGCAGACATGTCAAACTCATTTCTGGCCAAGGGTCAGTTTGCTCTTCGTTATATGTCGCGCGCCGCAGATGTATAATTATTTTACGACGGGCAAAAATATTTCAAAGGCAATTTTTCACTTGTATTAATACTTTTATATATTTCGATCTTCAGGAGTATCTATTGCAACTTTCTCGTCGTCGATCAAAAAGCAATTCCTCGATATCTTAGGATGTACAAACGTTCCAAAAATTGGTCTCTTCCACCGAGTACTAAAACCGACCATTTCCCGAGGCTAGCAAACGTTAGATTCCGGCGGTGCGGAAATATTTTTCATCAAATATTTGTCGTCCGATCGACGTGCAGCGAAGAAGAGAGCCGCACGGGGCGGGAATTGGGGCTGGCGGTTGGCCCCGTTCGTGATTTCGGATTAGATTAAGCCGGACTAATCAAACCGACGAGGAAATTGATGTCCGCTGGCTAGCCTAATTTCCATCGGCGCAAAGAGAGCGTCGTCGGCGTTGAACTCTCGTTTGCAGTCGCGCCAGCGCTAGCTCGGTTCATTGAAATTTTAATCGGCCGGATCAAAGGGCCGCGCTGCAGTTCGCCGACAAGCTGTCCTTGTATATCCTTTTTTTCCCCCCACTCTCTTTGTTCGCTTTATTGCAGTGGTCGCCCAATACTTTGAAGTTCAGGTTTACGATCAATTCGCGATACGCGGCAACGCGGCGATTTTCAAGTGTCAAGTTCCCTCGTTCGTCGCCGACCACGTGGACGTGGTGGGATGGATCGATTCGAACGGCGGTAGTTACATGGCCGATGGACAATCATACGGTACATCAATCAGCATGGAGCACGGCTAGAGATTGCGTTGCGTCGAAAACCATTTCCATTTTTCTGAACCGCGGGAGACCAGCCTCCCCTTCGAATACCGCGAATCGTTCGTTTCGCCTTCGCGTGGCCGTCCATTCTTGAATTCGTGCGTACCTCGAGTTTAATGGACGACGACCACTTCGCGGTCGTCGGCAAGACAAACGTTGACATTTCACGCGATCTCCCCAGCTAACAGTTTCAACTCTTTCTCGCGATACTTTGTTTAAAACTCGCCTTGACCGAGGAACTTCGACTTTGCAAGTGTCCACGAGTAACTCACAGTATAGTATTTCTTTAGAAATATCAAGTATTAATCGTTATGCGCACCGATCATGTAGAAAGTTTGAACCAAATTAATCTCCTCTAAGAACTCGCGTTGAGAATGAATTTTTCATGTTGCAACCGATTAAATAGACTAATAGTGGTGTTAGTAAACGTATGATAAAACCAGGAGCGCAGGAATTAAGAAAAATAGCTTGGAGGATCGCACGAATTTTCGAATGGCCGTTCGCCGGCAATAAACGATCACGGCACGGATACGAGGCTGTGTGTAGATATGCGGCTTATGGTAAAACCGGAAACCGGTGTCTGGTTGCAGTTGTCGGGCAGCGGTATGCAGTGAACGTGATGGACGAACACGTCCTCCGGGGGAACGCCGCAATTATCAAGTGTCACATACCGAGCTTCGTCGCCGAATTCGTCGAGGTTGACTCTTGGATCGAAGACGAGACCACTGAAATATACCCTAGCTCCGATCACGGTACACACACACACATGCACGTTTCCACCTGGAAAATGCAGAACGTTTCGTTCTTGTTTTGTTTCTTTCTTCTCTGCGACAGCGTTATCGCGAAACTTTTCATTTCTCGCGGCCGGAAGACGTCGCGTTGTTCCGTTTAAATCGCGAAAAGGGCGCAAAGACGACCCTGCGATCGTTTCCGTTCGGTTTGGCGATTCGAAAGCGTTTCAAGGATATTCTCTGGGACGCTAACGGGATCGCTGTCCACTAATAAGCGATATCCTCTGCGATCCTGAGTGGAAATCTCTCGGTTAGCACGCGACCAAAGGAAACACGCAACAGGTACGATCGCCGTAACGCAACGTGTAAAAGGAACGATTCGTTCCGGCTTTTACGGATAAATGCACCTCGATCGAAGAGGATTTGTTAACACACTACGTCCTGGAGACGTATAAATACGCCCCGTCGCCAATGGTCGCATGTATAAATCGCAAATACAAGTCTCTGTTTGAATATTTTGGTATAATTTCAATGGACAGCGATGTGTTGACAGAATCTCAGAGATCCAGGTGAATTTTGCGGTGTAAAATTAAAAAAGTCCCAACGCGTTTCGTAACGAGTTTCCAAACGGTGAAGACGAAGGGGGGTGCTCGTCCGTGAAATTCGAAACAGACGATTTTCATACACCCTGTGCGTGGCGATCGCGGGGCGGGGGAAACGAGGCGGCGGAAATGACAAGAGACGAATGGGGAATGGGATGCAGGAAATTGCTAGGAAGAAAATATGGAGCAGGATATCGAGGCTCGACGAGCGAGAAGGGTGGAGTTATTTTCGCGGGGCGGGTAGCGTCGTCTTTCCAGAGAGTGTTCGTTCCATCGGCCTCCGCTCGTATCTCGATCGCGTTCTCGATGATCGACCGACGACGGAAATGTGTCTGGCGTGCGATGAAATCCGTTCGAAAGCCCGGATGCCCCTCGTTTCGAAAAGAAAAAAGACAAAAAGAAAAAGAATACGTGGATGCCGAACTATTCTTGAACTGTTCGTACGACGTTGACTGCCGCTGCTCGCGCTGTCCCAGACTTTTCCCTCCTTTTCCGCAACTATTCGACAGTTCCACAAAAAAAAAAATTACTCTTTCGAGCTTTTCTTTCCCCGTGTGGTTGCTAACAAAGTAAATGGGTGTTGTTGCTTGTAGTTGTTGCTAACAGCATGCGTCGGGCTCGTTCGTCTGGCAATTTTGTAACTGGAACCAGTCGTCCGGATGAACGGAACGCGAGCGTGAGATACACGCGAAGGTAAATTTTTTATTCCACGGGAAAAAGCGAACGTCGAAGTTGCTCGACGGCCCGTGAAACGATAAGGTGCGGAACGAAAGGTTGCAAAATGGAGGCTTGGACTTTTAATCCCTTCGCGCGGCCGAAAGGATCACTCGTTTCATCAATTTTCAGGATCAAATATAAAACTCGCTACATGAACGATCATTTGTACTTTTAAAGATTAATTTCTCTTTCTTATCGCTTACATTATTTCTCAAAGGCCGAAGATGGTTATTCAGGGTTAATCGATCGTTAAGATGATGCGTCGCGAATATTATACAACGGGATCAAGCGTTCCGCAAGTAGTATGCAAATCAGGCGGGGACGTTTGCTTTCGCGAGTGCTCGAATCGAACAAAATGAACACGAGGCATCGAATTAATATTCATGAATAAATATCGAGCCCGATCTCATCAGTAACCACGGGACATCTAAACCGTCGCGAAAGGGGTTAAAAGGATTAAAGGGAATGCCGTTGATCGTTGGGCGATTCAAGCCGGTCTGGTTGCTTCTTACAACGTTTCACGGACATCCGGCGAACAATGGATGCTCCGGTATTCCCTTGGCTGTTGCTTGACGAACGGGTCTGTATTGCCAAGCGATTCGTCGAACGATGAAAGCACGAGATAGATACAGAGTCCGTCGCTATTCAACGTTCAACGAACCTGGCCAAGTTAGTAGAAGGTAATAGAGCTGCATGCGGGCCAATGTATTAATCAAGACGGCATTGTACTCGTCGACACACGGTTATGTGCCAACGTGGAGAACGAGTATCGTGCGGTCGTCGGGATAATTGAATATTTCTGATTGCCCGAGCCATCGGAGCTCGGAGCCGTAAAATATCCAGCTCTTCTATTAAGCTGTTCCAATACCGATACGATTGGAACTGTTCCGTTTGATAAAGTCAATTATCCCGGGGTAGAAAGTTACACGAGAGAGATCAAGAGCGGCGCGAATTAATCTGTGTGCTTTCCTTTGTGGCTTGTGGCCGCGCGAACAGACGGGAAATACTTGGTGCTGCCTTCCGGTGAACTCCACATTCGCGACGTTGGACCCGAGGATGGATACAAGACCTACCAGTGCCGTACCAAGCATAGACTCACCGGAGAAACAAGATTATCCGCCACGAAGGGACGTCTCGTCATTACCGGTAAGTGGCAAGCACAACGATCGATCACAATTCATCGCGATCGAAATCACGATTCCGATTCGTTCGTTTGTCGCGCTGGTATCTCTTTCAAACATCGAACGATGAACGGTAGACTCACCGTGTTTGTTTCTGATAGAAATCGGAATCGTGGTTCCGGAGTTTCGAACCTGGATATCACTTTCTCTTTGCAACGAAATCACGCGTTGATTCTGTTCGTCTTTCATCGACTTGCATTCTTTCGAGCGAAACTCGTACACGGAGCAAATAATCTTGCGATTAAATTCTTCCTCTAGAGGAGATATCGAATCGATTATAATACGATTGTCTGAAGAGTCTCGTAGAGATCCGTCCGGGTTCGAAACTGTTAACCGAGGCAATTGATTTTCCGGCGAACGAAAGTGTAACAGTTCGAGCACGCGAGCTGTTGAATTAATTCAAGAGTAACGCTTAGTTTCGATATCAACGCGTCTTGGAAAATCAATCGTCTTCGGATACGTAGCCACGTCGATGTACGTGCAATCACTTGGACCAACGAGCTTGATCGCGTTAATAACTAAAAAGACTCGTTTGTTTTGACGTTCGAATGGGCACAAAAGTTGATTCGTTGAAAAGGATCAAGCTCGTTGGCAAACCTGAATGCTGGGACAGGGTACCCCTGCGGGCACGCGCCACCGCCCGCCCATAATTCGACTCTTGGCATGATCGGTTTCGGATGAACATCTCAAAAAAGAAGCAACGAAAATGTGCTGAAAGAGAAAGACAAAATTTTTTTTTTTACGAACATTCTTCCGACGCTTTGCGGCGCCCTCACGCGATCTCCGGGCTCTGTCCTTCGCTCTCGCGTGGTAAGTTGAACGTCATTGTAATATTTCACAACGACTGAACGTCGAAGATCGAGACGGTCGCGATCGCGCGTGGAATAGATGTGATGCTCAATGCAGCTGTCAGCTTTTAACGTCGTCGTATCTCGTTTCGTGAGCTCTCGACAGCCGTGTATGAACCGCGGTATCGCGACGAATCTCAGTGACGTACACACAGCTTCGTTGGGTACAGAACTATTCTACCGTCGAAGCTATCGGTCAACGATGGGCGACGATAGCGATCGGCGGTCCAAGCCGCCCTGTTCGAACCATGCCGATTCTATCGGCTCCGGTCGCGTTCGCAAGACGCGCGATAGAATCGAGCAAATGGGATAACGATGGCCAAGATAGAGTAACAAGAATCAAAAGCGCCGACGAGGGGTTCCGTGCAGGGGGCCCACGCGCCACAGACGACTCCGCGGTCACGAACAGTGTGTTTTTCGTTGTGAAACAGAACCGGTGGGAAGCGTACGGCCAAAGTTTCCTTCGATGGACAACATAAACGGACTTTCGACGGAATCGAAAGGCAGTTTACCGCTTCTGTGCCCTGCACAAGGATACCCGGTACCGGTAAATAGGTACGATATCTCTGATCACTGATGCGCGGAATGAGCTTTCGCACGATCGAACGAAAAGGGACCCACGACCGAGGGCTGTTTGGAGAATGGTGGAAGGGTTTCGAGAGACGTTCCCGCAAAGATTTCTTGCATCCACTCCTATCGCACCATACGTTAGAAGCACGAAAACATCGTCCTAGAATCATCTTCAGAGATCGTTCCAAGCCATCCGAACACCAAAGTCGCGATTTAATTACCGCATGAACGATAGAAAGAGCGGTAATTGGAACGGCTTGTTTCCCTCAGGGGTTCCCCGTTCGTCATACAGCCAGATTATCACGCGAATCCTTACTCGTGTATCCTTCAGAACCCGTGGGCAGCGTCCGTCCAAAGATCCCATCGACGGACGACATACGCGGATTCAGGACGCCGGTCGACGGATCACAGGCTTTGCTGTGCCCTGCGCAGGGGTTCCCCGTTCCCTCGAACAGGTAGAGACTCGACGAATAGAAACGCGTGCGCGCTAGATCGGTCCTGGAAACCGAACTTCCTGTTTAATTGCATAATCAGAGCCGGTCGGCAGCGTCAGGCCGAAATTCCCGACCATCGACGACTCCAGGAGTTTCCGAACGGTCCAGGACGGCTCGGCCACCCTCCTCTGCCCCGCTCAGGGGTTCCCTGTCTTGGTGTTCAAGTAAGTTCCAACGCGTCACGGTCGGTTCTATCTTTTGTTCTTTTATTTTTCTAAATTTTTCCTGGACACTCGATCGCAGAACCCGTGGGAAGCGTCCGGCCCAAATTTCCATCCGTGAGCAACATAAACGGTCTGACGGTGGCCTTTAATGGGACGCTGCCGCTTCTCTGTCCCGCGCAGGGATTTCCGGTGCCGAGTCATAGGTACTGTCTTCAGTCAGATTTGCTTTTAATCCCCCAGGTGAGATTCTGATTCTCCCTTCTGAACTGGTCAACAGCAGGTACCCTTTGCGATGTTTTTTTTTTTCAAGAAACTACGAGATATTGCAATCCATAATTTCATCTATATATCGAGTCATCTGTAGAGAAGGTTTACAAACTTTTCGACCGCGAATAGTATTACAAGTGTTCTCGGTTTTTCCGTTCGGGGATGAAAGTACGAGTATACTAGTGAGCGGTCGCCAAAGCGTTAATTGTGTTTCCGCGAGTCGGTGCCCAAAGGGGTCCCCCATCCCGCGTCCAATTTAGCAGTCGGTTCCGGCCGCGTGAACGCAATTTGATAACGTCCCAGAGCCGGTGGGCAGCGTGAGACCGAAGTTCCCGACCATCGACGACACCCACGGATTCCGTACGATGAAAGACGGTTCGGTGACGTTGATGTGCTCCGCCCAAGGGTTCCCTGTCCCCGTGCACAAGTAAGTCGAAGCTCGTCGAAAACCGCGAGCGCCGTAAAACTTTTCCATTCGACGACGATTCCGCAGAGCCCGTGTCGAGCGCACGCCCCAAGCTCTCCAGTACGATCAACTTGATTGGACTCTCGGCGAGGACGGCCGGAAGTTTGCCGCTTTTCTGCCCTGCCCAAGGATTCCCTGTTCCGTCTTATAGGTAGGGAGTCTGTTGACAATCTCTCTGGGAGTCGCGATTACAATTAAGGTTCCGGGGGTTAGCGTTGACGGGACGAAGCAGCTTCGAATAGTGGGGGGTTGATTCGTCGCGTTCCCCCCAGTGGGTCCCCTGTCCCTAAATCTTCCGTACGTGCTGACGCGTGTCTTCTTCCTGGGACTTGTCGCAGAACCTGTGGGGAGCGTGCGGCCCAAGTTCCCGACGATGGATAATTCTCGCGGGTTCGTCTCGAGGCTAGGAGAAACGCTGCCTCTGCTGTGCCCTGCTCAAGGATTCCCAGTACCTTCTCATAGGTGGGATACGTCTCACGCGTTGTTCTTATCTGTGGAGGTTTGCTGTTGTAAGAAAAAGGTTGATCGTGGCCCTCAACAGGGGCGTACGTAAAGCGATTCCAACTTAGAGAACAGTTGACTTTGAAGGCGTGGTCGTCGATTCACCTGTCCCGGCGTTCGATAAAGCAAATCTTTCCGACGATCGCGCGTCTGCATCGGACTTCTCTTTGCCGTAGAACCGGTGGCCACTACGAAACCGAAATTCCCGATGACGGAAAACTCGCGTACGTACACGGTTCGCTGCGATTTGCCGCTCACGCTGATGTGTCCGGCCCAGGCCTTCCCCGTTCCAGCTTTCAGGTACAGAGAACACGGAATTCTTGAGAATAGAGTCGAGAATCGATGCGCAGCTCCGTATCTAAAGAAGCCCAGACAGGCGGAAAGAGAAAATGCGGTAGTGCCGCGCGATATCTGACGCGACGTTTACCAGCGAACGCGTTTCTCGTTACCTCTTTCTTGCTATCTCCCTTAGAACCCGTCGCAAGCACTCGGCCGAAATTCCCGTCGTTGGCCGACTCGCAGACGTTCAAAGTGACGCTCGGTGGTGCGATGACGTTGCTGTGTCCTGCCCAAGGGTTTCCCGTTCCGTCCTACAGGTAACACGTACCCTTAACCTTCGACCCGTCGCGCGAATCACCAAACTTTTTCGTCAGAGCCAGCATCCAGCACGCGACCGCAATTATCCGGACCGAGCGACCTTCAACGGTTCAGCGCTTCTTCGCTAAAGAGCGTCACCCTCCACTGCCCCGCTCAAGGATTTCCGGTTCCTTTTTATAGGTAGGCAGTCGAACGCGTTAAACGCGATTCAACAACGACAAAAGCTACTCGACGCTCTTTTGATTCGCGCGAGAGAGAGGGGACACCTTCTCAAGGAGTTACTTCATCTCGTATTGCATGTTCGATAGTTTAGGCTCGCGAAATCAGTATTTATTCAACATCGTGGCTCCAGAGTTCCTGTTTACCTGTGTCGACTGTTTTTCCCTTAATTTTAATTACGATGGGCAACATTCATACTCGTAAAGAAAAATGACAAGGTTCGTCTTCACTATTTGCAAAGTATAATTGGAATAAGTAAATCGCGCGAGCTACGTATTCGAGGAAGAAGTCATCCATCGATGTCACTTCCAATCTATTAGCGCAGTTATGCAGTTTGAACTTCTTCGTACGTTCGAAATAGCCCTGAGGCCATTTTCGTTTCAGCATTCTTACATCGGGGTGGTCGTTCGTAAGGATCTTGGCCAGGGCTTTGAAATATTGTGGAAGCTTAACGCGATAGATCTTGACAAATTTTTGGACTTATTTAGCGCGCCAAGATTTTTGTGAATATAGTAATATTCCACGCGACTTAAGATACACAGAATCGAGACTAGCACCGTAGTCCAAAGATGTTAGAATTCCTACGGTATTTCCTTCGCGGCCATACGGTATCAGCAACTATGCGGGGTGTTTCGTAACACGTGGTAGCTACTTCAGAGCCGACTAGGGGCTCGAAAAGGTTCATATAAATATACGTCCGATTTAATAGGTTTCTTAACGCGATACAGAGTGTTAGAAAACGCATAACCGCGTCCCTTTATGGCGAAGGGGAGCCCCTATTCCAGCATATTCAAAGACTCTCTAGCTTCCTCTTCAAGCACGACCTTCGAGCTGTCTCGTGTTCTGTTTTTAGAACCCGCCTCGAGCAGCAAGCCACAGTTTCCATCTGTGAACGACGTCGGATTACGCGTAACGAAAGGCACAGGGTTTTCGTTGCTTTGTCCAGCTCAGGCGTTTCCAGTCGCCACGTTTAGGTAGGTCGATATATCCGTCGGCTCGGGTGCACTCGCGTTGCGAGGAAAAATAGTCCAGTTCGCCCCGTCGCGGAGCTTCGCCCTGTCCCAGTATATTAGGCACGTCGACGGAATGGAATCCGCGTCTCGGCTTCTCGGAAACGAAAGCGAACCGAGCGGTTGCCTCGGATGCTCCCTTTCGTCTGACTTCCAAAGATATTCCCCGTTCGTTGTTTCCCAGAGCCCGTCGGCTTCGCGAAGCCAAAGTTCTCGACGATCGACAAGAGCCGAACGTTCGAAGTCCCGGAAGCTCAGGGCCTACCGTTACTGTGTCCCGCCCAGGCGTATCCTGTCCCAGTCTTCAAGTAAGTTTCGCCACGAAGGCGCGCAGGGGCCGTTTGCATCCCTTAGCGATCCCCTCGTCGCAGATAAGAATTCGTTTGTCATGTGTGTGACGCAGAACCGGTGTCGAGCTCGAAACCAAAACTAACCGCCATGGACGTGAAATCGACTAATCCCAGCGCGATGCTAGGTACCATTACCACCCTACTGTGCCCCGTTCAAGGATATCCCGTGCCAGCATTCAGGTAAATCGTTTTCAGAATCGTTGGTTCGCCTCTCTGTCGCTTACGCGGGGGCAACGGGTCCTTCGTTCCTCCGTCGCCGTGAATAGTTTAATCGATATCGCGCTCTGTCGCCCCCCTTCGACGCTATCGCGGTTCAATTGTCCCCGTTTGCCCGGCGAATCGATGGCGATAATTAGCGGATCGTTATCCGGGGTCCTGTCCCAGTGACTCGGAGCAGACATTAACGCGGACGCGGTTCGATTCTTCCCGCAGAACCCGTCGCCAGCGTCAAGCCGAAATTCCCCATGACGGAAAACTCGCGCACCTATACCGCGTTCACGGTGAGACGCGATCGGCCTTTGACTTTGCCATGTCCGGCCCAAGCGTTTCCGGTTCCAGCCTTCAGGTACGCGAACACCTCTACGAACCACTCTCGGTTTACGGAACGTTTGTTATGGCAGCTTCTCTTTTTACTAAAAAATATCACTGCGTCTTCGTTTGCTGTGCTTCGGAGTTAAGATGTGAAACTATAATACTAAAATCGAGGTCTGTGTTTTCCTGGTTGGTATCGATAATTTGAAGAAATATTTAATAAGTTGCAACGTTGGTAAACCGAGAGTCGGTCGTATTTAGCGGCCCAGCTATCAGGGCGTATCGTCAGACACGGTCGAAGGAGTCACGGAACGTCGAGGGAACAGGTTTCGATGGTCTTCTATTTGCGCAGACGGGTTACCCAGTCCCAGCGTCGGGGGCGCCGGAGCATTAGCTGAAAATGATTAATTTGCCCGTCAGAACCGGTGTCCAGCGCGAAGCCAAAGTTCACGAACGCGGACATCAAAGTGGTGAGACCCACGGCGAGCTCCAGCGCGGTGTCGATGACTTGCCCCGCTCAAGGGTTCCCTGTCCCCATCACTCGGTCAGTAGCAGCTTCTCCGGCCTAATCGATTTACCTGTTCTTCCCCAGAGCCTACCTCTAGCGTAAAGCCAAAACTACCGACCAATCGTAAAGTCGAATTCGTGGACGCGAGATCGGACGGCGCGATGAGTTTGATGTGCCCGGTGCAAGGTTACCCTGTTCCACTTTCGAGGTGAGACGATATTCGATCGGGCGCATGCACACACGCTCCCGCGAACCTATATAGAATCGATACAATTTCCCAATCCTGCCGGTGTCACGGTTTCGAATGACTCGCGGCCCCGGCTTTCCCGGCCACCTGTCCGTTAATTCTAATTTCTCTCTCGCCGTCTTCGTCGTCGCTCTCCTGGTGATTCCCGACAGCGCAATATTTTCCCCAGAACCTGTTGGATTCAAGTCGCCAATTTTCTCCACCGACAACAGCCTTAGTAAATACGCGAGGCGCAGGGGCACGAGCGTGGTGCTCGCGTGCAACGCTCAGGGATTCCCCGTGCCAACCACCAGGTAATCGCTCG